TCACAGAGAGAGGGACGAGCAAGGCCTATAAAAGTGAATAAATGTCCTTAACTCATTGCCTCCCAGTCGTTTTCGATGATTTTCACAGATTTTTCAAAACCCACACAATGTTGTTGATGTCAGAAAGTGCATCATGAAACCACATGTGTCACCGTCCCATTCCGTCATGCTGCGACATGTACAGATGTAAACATACAACTATATATTTCTTGCACTACAATAAACAGTATCATAAACGTGTTTCTTTGTTTTGCTGAAGTCAGAGATTTGACTTCATTCTCGTTTCTTTATAAGCAATTACACATCCTGTTGTGTAATCATAGTGAACGTGGCTCCAGTACAAAGCTAAAGCATGTTGTGAGAGATGCAGACTCGACGTCACATTTAGAGATGCAGATGTCACGCAGCTTGACACACTGAACCCAACAACATGTGACAGTGGTGATGATCCAGGAAACTTGACATTCAAAACTGTTATGGACATTGGTCTTCTTCTCCTTATGGACCAATGTCTCTATTTGATTTTTTGTCATTGCATTTCTTTTGTTTGATCTGTGTTTGCAAATTCAATGTTTTTTTAAAGTCCTCCGGGATAACTACTGTTGTGATTTAGGGCCATACAAGACTAAATTTCCTTAGAATTGATTTGGATGAGTCTGCTTTCTTTTCCTCACATGTCGTGCACCTGTGCAATACTTTGAACTGATGTCCGAATGTGCAATATGAAACCAATGTCACTTCACTTTGTCTCATTCCCTCATGCACAACTAATATACAAGAGAGATTTTATTTTATTATAGTATAGATATATTGTTCACCTTTCTTTTGCTGAGACTGAGGCAGTGCTGTGGGCACCTCTGACCCTCCGTTGATCTTGGTGAGACGGGAAACATTTGTCCTTCAACTGATACTAAAAAGGTGTGGGCCATAGACATAATACAGATTAGATTAGTTCATGTGTCGGTCGTCACAGCAACAGTGCAGCGTGTGGTATATACTTTACTTACAAGTTATATACGAATAAAATACCTGCACTTACAAACACATCTCCCCTGCATACAGAGCAACACTCAACCTGCACTAATCAGTAATGAGAGTCTTGAGATCTCTGTTTCAGCTATGGCTAAACCTATTGAGCTCTTAGGATCAGAATGAAAAACTAACATGACCATTTTCAGTGGAACGTTTGATAAAATAAATGTATTAATGGAAACAGTAAGAAACCTTTTTACAGCACATCTCGAAATATGTGCTTTAGGCCTTGTCAGTCCCACAGCTACAGTATAACAGTCTAGTAGCTGCTATGGATCTGCTTTAGGACCCTTTGGAGTAAAAACAAATGGAGAAAACTACAGGGCCTCAGTTTTGGCCCCTGATAAGTCATTTACACAATGTGGGAACAATCTCATTCATCATTTTGGGTTTGGGACATTTGAGGGTATCGCTGGTGTCTGGGAGATTGGCGCTAATAGTCTATAGAATGATACATTTTTGGGTTTCCCCCTTCCACACTGAGGCAATGATCTATGTTTATGATCTATAAATATGTATGGACTGTATTTTATGGCTGGGTTAGAGAGAGATGCAACTGGGCCTGGTCTAGATAAGAGGGAGACATCTTCTGCTTTGATCTTTAACATCTGGATTTTTTTTATGATGGCTATATTATATCCACTGGCTGATGGAGAAAATATATGTATATGCTAGTGAAATCCACACGTTCTGAGGTCCCAGCACAGTGAATCCTTTTTGAACAGAATCAAACTGTTCGGATCAACCACTGACTGTGAATAAAAGACACAGGGCGAGACATCGGCGTGGCTCTGCTGCCATCTAGCGGCCAGCTGCAGTAATGGCCACTCTGAAATAACAAAGGTGTGTATCAAACATGGATGTAATTGATTATCAGTATCAGAGAGAAAAGCCCGAAGATAATCATTAATGAATACATGTAGAAAATACGTAATCATCTGAGGTCTCACAAAAAGCATTTTTTTTCAGAAGACTTGTGTAGATCAATGCACTTTTGATATAGGCCAATACTCATGCAGCAGATGATACTTTCTCGGGTATTTCTCGTGTGTAAACATCAGAATTAAAGTCAAACCAGTCTCTCATGTTCTGCATCAAGACCTTGTGCAGAGATGACGCTGCAAAGGCTGCTGTACCTACGCAGCACACCACAGGATGGCGCTGTAGAACACACCAATGCTGTGCTGGAACGTCACCACACTACTGCTTTTGCCTTTTCATTTTACATGGCCCTCCACCTCGATACAACTTCAGAGATCATCATCCAGCCACCTCCAGCTCTAAAGGCATATGTTATACCTTGTTGTAAGGCTCATAACCTATTTAATACATTTCCATTCTATGAACTGGCATTGTTTTATTTTGTGGCCTTAAATTAAGTCTTTGCCGTATACAATTAGAAACTAGTTGTAGAGCCAATACTGACACATTTACAGTAATGTAGATTAATTCACAAGCAAATTCACTCCTTAAGCAAATTCACTCCCTATTCATATTCAAACTATTAAATAAATAAATGAAATATGTAGCTAGCGTGATATGGTAATCATTGGTCATTCAGCCAACTTCCACTCTTACAAATGTGTATCAAAATAGTCATGTCAATCCTCCTTTTACATTTAAAATCAGGCCTTACACTTACTAAATATGAAAGATAACTATTTACTGAATGAGGGTTATAGGGAATGAGTGTGGGGTGGGCTTTCGGCCATTTCTCTATCGTGAGGCTTATTGCAGGATTCTTGATTCATCAAAATGGGTCATAATCATACCCAAACTCATTCAAAACAGATATCACCTTAATAACATTTTAAACTTTTATTTTCCATTGCACAGTAATCTTTATCTACAGAATGTCTAAATCTTTGTGGCAGCAGATAAAGTCATAAACATCCATGTGAAAGTTGCATAAAACTGTACAAGAAAATTGGCTACAATGAGAAAAATACTGCAACCCACTGATAACTGTTGACTCCGGGACAGAAGATGGCAATGGCAGACAGACTCCCTCTAGTGGTCGAACTATTAATGTTCATTCATGTGGGAATACTGCATACAAGGTAGTGTGGGGGAGAACAAGCAGAAAGATCAACGTAAACCATGAGTGTAACAAACAAAACAGGAGAACTGAAACAACAAAAAACCAGGGGTTAAGTTAGTTTGCCGAATGTGGCAACTTTCCCTGAAATAAGTTACATTTCATAGCACGCACAATGGTAAACAATGGGTACACAAGGCAAAAATATTACAGTCTAAAAACAAAAGACGTGTAGAGGTCGTCTGCGATGGTGAAAGCACATGTGGCAAAGGAAGCAACAGAGATCATGAAATGTAGTCGTATTGAATGAAATCACCGATGTCAAACTGAGACAGACGTAAAACAGACGGAAGAAGTGCTGCGTTCTGGGAGCGAGGGGCAGCAACTGAGTCCAGAAACATGTATTCAATGTTACAACACACCATGATGGATGCTCATTCTTCATCAACCTCAAAGATACAGTGAATATTTCTATATGCTGACCTGATTTAAGCCTGAATCTTGGCTCTATAGAAGAAAGCGGTTCCATAAATATGCCCAACACTGCACTAAATGAAAATGCAATGAAAAGATAAAGCAACTCTTTGGTGTCAGAAAAAATATGGCCTCTCTCCTCTGGCGTTGCATCGGGCAACCACTATATGTACTTTCCAGTTGGTCTTAGATTGTCAAACTATTTACTTATATACAAATAAAGGTTAAAAGCCAGGTAGACAGAGAAAAGGACACATTGGAGTGTTTCAGCAAATGGAACTATATTGTATATACTCAACATTTCTGACACCGTGTTCTGCACCTTACAAAATAAATAACAGACTTAATAGCTTCTCATACAAAACAAGTGTAAGAAAAAGAAGATGTCTTAAAGGAGTACACATATGTGTCAGTATTAACCTGCATATATGAGCACACATAAATAGGCCTTCTACTCATGTGTATGTAATCCAACAAACCTGGCTCTGTGTAAAACATAGTCAGCATTTGTAAAGTAACACTTAGAGAGGGAGTAACTGGAAGAAAAAGACAACAGCGGGAGAGTCACTACTTCATGTGTCAGTGATGGGAACTCAGGTAGACACGTTTCTGACAAGTTCATAGATAAAATCTCTATATATTATCAAGTAATGCCATGACTCTGCGAACATCCAAACCCTCCTTATGTTCCAGCCCTTTTCAAAAGCAGAAATTAACATCAGCTATTTAGACCCAATCTCTCAACAAATGAAATATAATCCACTTTCACAATATAAAAATAAGATTTCCGATAATACAGACCAGAGCCAAAAAACAGACAGTTAACAAAGTGAGTAGTGGGAGGAGAAAACGTAAGATTGGAACACACATAGTCACACTGTTGGTAACACCATGAAACCTGTCGATACGAGGAGAGTCTGAGAGTGAGATGGAGGCTGCACTTCCGGAGGCCACTTGCACTGCGTCCTTGGGCTGTCTTGCACATGTCACTTGTGTGGAAACAGCATTGCACATTTATTCAATTTATTTATATATAATGATTTATTCAGAATAGTTCCTTTTTTTTTTTTTTTACATTTTCTTCAATAACTTATAGTTCACTTATAGATAATAGTCTTCTTTGTCGTGTTTGTCCGTTTGAATACTGGCCGCAAAAGGCTTGGAGTGAGGACGACGCGTAAAGGGGACAGTTTTTGGCAAAATGAGAATGACGAGTCTCCTGGGAGCCTCCCGGAAAACGGAAAAAAAAATAGACGAAAGAGACGGAACACATGAAAAGAAGACACTGCTTGTCCTTCTCCTCCCCCTGTGTGCCCCTCAGTTCCAGTGTCCCGAAGACTGAGGTATAGACAGTGTTCGTCATTGTGCTAGGGAAGAGATCTCCCAAAGTTTGAGTGAAGAAGGCCTGGAGGAGATGGAGACAGGATGTGGTTGAGGCCGCGGGAGACGCGCCGCATCAGAACTGGTACCACTTCTTGTCTTTGCACTTGAGCATCATCTGCAAACAGGAAGAAGGTGTGTCAACTCTTAGACTCTTGGATTTGATTTTTTATGTTAAAAAATGAATGTATTTCACACAAAAAAGAGGAAATAATTGCTTAAATCGAGTGGTTTTCATGTTAATTTATGTACATTCTGACAAGATTAGCCAATGGGACAGAGCCATTTCAGGACATTTCAGTATCTTTTAAAAAACAAGATAATTTTTCTTGTCCATTTGCAAATATTGTATTAAATGTGCACAAATTAAGACACATTTTCTAACTATTTTGCATCATTTTGTGCAGTGTACTCTACCTGGTTGGGTTTCCAGTACACTTCAGTATCTGGTACTGTATCCTAGCAACCTACACACAACAAACTAGTATCCGTGGACTGGGCTGGTGGAAACGGGGCAGTAGTGTTTGCCAAATGCGTAAGAAGAAGAATATCGGGCGGCACGGTGGCTGAGTGGATAGCACTCTCGCCTCTCAGCAAGAAGGTCCTGGGTTCGAATCCCGAAAGGCCTTTCTGAGTGGAGTTTGCATGTTCTCCCCGTGTCTGCGTAGGTTTCCTCCGGGTACTCCGGTTTCCCCTACCACTAAAAATATGTCCAATAGGCATGTTTGGCATGCGCCTCCTGTACTGGCGACCCCGCTCCCATCTCTGTGTGGAGTGAGAGATAAATGCCCATAATTAACAATTGTAAACCGCTTTGAGACTCAGATCTGCAGTGAAAAGGCGGTATATAAATAAAGATTACTATCTAAGAACACGATTTGAACATGAGCGAGCTGGAGCCAATTTCCTTATATGGGCATTTGTGACAGACGGGGTGACCTATGCGCAGTAGCAGGGGCAAATGCGAACTAACGTGTTGCTAATATGGATGCTAGGACAATCTGGAGTTTCCCCTGCGAATGAAGGAATCGGATTGGTCAATTATGGCTCATGTGTGGATTTACAAAGACATGGTCAAAATGTAAACATAGACAGTGAGCTAAAAGGGTGAGTGTACACAAGTCATTACTGATCTAGAAGTTCACTTTTAAATGCAAGTCCATGGGAGCTATTGTCCATGAGCAGTTTCCTGTAGGGCTTCTGTGAGCGTGTAGATTAAATGTGTCCACCAGATGTCAGTGTTGCAGGCCAGACTGACACAGTGTTGAGGCTTCAACTAGGGTTGGGCATCGTTTGCAATTTTCCGATTCCGATTCCGGTTCCGATTCTCACTATCGATTCCTGTTATAAACGATTCTCGATTCCGATTCTTTGAGGTGCAGGAGAGAAAAAAAAAAGATTTTTTTTTTTTTTCAAATTTTATTTCATAAGTACTTTTCCTGCCATAAGGCAACAGAAAGTGCTTTACATAAAAACAAATTAAATTAAAAAACAAGGAACACGAACACACACACACACACATACACACACATACACACACACACACACAAGCGGTGTTTATGTGGCACCGCCCACCATCATCTCAGAGCGGCTGAAATGTAAACACGTCTCGGTTTGCCCCCCTCCGGGGTGGAAAGCTATGCACAATCAGAATGTAACCTGAAGTAACTAGCTTCCCGAGACACACACGGTACAGTAGGTGGCGGTATGCACCTAAGCTGCTGGTTGCCACCCGCCAATAATCGACAGAAGAAGAAGAAGTAAACACGTCTCTGTAAACCGCTGAAAAACGGCTAAAGTGAGAATACTGGAGGATTATTGTTGGACGGACTGACAGATTTGACCAAAGCACCAGGACTCGTGCTCGTGCATCGTGTTTTCGGAGTTTTTTACAGATTATTACATGGAGGAGGAGCAGGACTTTTTGCGGTCCTCGGCAGGTGGACAGCGTGTTTCCCTTCTTCATAATTACAAAGGGCCTGACCAGTAACTTTAAGGTAAGGAACATCAGTTTTGGATGTGTTTGTAAAGCGAGTGATGAAACTGATGTAGCGTGAGTTTGGGGAAACTGCACCGGGCTAGCACGAGTGTTCAACCGGTCAATACGCCCGTTAAACCTCGCTGTCTGGACTCTAACTTAACCAAATAATATCTGAATTAGTCATTTGACGGATAAATGTTTGCTTCCTTTACCCCTTGACTCAGTTTTATCTGCGTTTGTGGAAAATGTGAAGATACAAGCGTTGAGAGGTTTCTTTGCGATGGCAGGAGTGTGTGGCTGAAGCTAAATGTGGCAAATACTGAGCAAACACGAGCGCGCCGTCTCATAAGAGCTTAATTCACTGAGTTTTTCACAAAGCTGGGTGGACAGCTGCTAAGCATTTTTGAAACGTGTCCCCCCCCACCTTCCAAACGCTTCCGACGCCGCTGTGCGGGCCGCATCCGGCATTTAGGAATCGAAAAAAGAATCAAAATACAAACGTCTTCTTAACGGTTCCGGAACCGCACTTTAGGAACCGGTTCCAAATAGGAACCGGTTCTCGGTGCCCAACCCTAGCTTCAACATATATTCAACAGAAAAAAAGCCTCAATGCTTCCCAAGGCTCCATAATCCCATCACGACCATTCACTCCGCCTCACAGGCCATGTTAGAGCGTGATAAATACTATGATTTGATTGGTTCTTGAATGGCGACACAGAGGCGTTTAAAGCTGTTGTGAGCTGCACAGTGAGAAAGACCTGGATTCATGTGGAATCTACATGTTTGATCATTAATTTGTGTTACAGTTGCTTATTGCGCATTTGAGATAATTATATTAATAAAGACAAGTTGTGGTAAAAAGTGTATAGTTTACGCAAGTGTGTTATAAATCACATGTGTGTGGAGCTGTGTGAGCCTCTCTCTCTACGCCGCTGACACCTTTAAATGAGACCTCCGATTTGACGTGTTGTAAAGGAGCAAAAAACTAAGGCTTGGCTAATCCACAAGTATCACTGATGTCACTAACCAGATATACAGAATATAATAAATACAAAATGTATACCATAACCTTACGGAGCATAACATGCATAAATCAAAGCTTAAATGTCAGGAACGAGGAGCCATGAGACATCATAACACAATACATACATTCTTAATCTATTTACAAATGCTGTGTGCACTCAGCTGTACCTCATGGGCATGTTTTGAAAAGAAATCAGCGCTGGACATCATAGCAGCTGTCCTGTCCTCCAGCTCTCCCAGTTTCTGTCCTCTCTCGTCCAGAGCGATCCGCGCCCGGGCCAGGTCTCCCACCACCCCAGAGGCAGCACCCTTCATGCCCTCGATGCCTCCTGGACCCGGGATGTGCTGAGCCAGGCTACGGGACGCTTTGCCAGCTGCCACCTCTCCAACTAATCCAGACAGAACAGACGGGTTTCATCAATAACAGGGAAGGGGAAATGATCCAAAATGAAAGAGTGAAGACGTACACAGCTCTTCTCTGTCCAGTGACTGTGCTCCGCCTCCAAACAGGCCTTTGAAGAAGCCTCTGTTCGGAGCCTCTGGTGTCTCCACTGGAGTGAACAACTCACCAAGCATCTCCTGTCACACAGAAACAGGTTCAGATTCATTCATTTATTAGCCATTTGCAGTAAACCCACATTGGAATACATTTACCAAAGTCCCCAGCACTAGACAAGTACATAAATAAGCAAGTTTAAAAGTACAGGAATAAAACAAACTTGCGGGGAAACTATTGACACTGTGAAATCGATCAACAAAAAGTTTAAACAGCTTGTGGAAAAGAAGTTGTTAGCAAAGAGGGAAGAAGCTGGAACATGGCTTTTCCAGGATGGCCGGAGGAGATATTTCAAATTCTCAGAGCTCGGTATATGAGTCTGGATTCATAAACAGTCTCCAAAACAACAGTCAGTAAACAGAAGGATTTTGGGGCGGAGGAGGGCTCGACTCACCTGCAGGTTTTCGCAGACTTCTTGGCTGTAAGTAATTCTCTGGATCTCTGTGGGGGAGCACATGTACATGGCCTGGCCCAGGTTTGAAAAGCAGAATGTCCGCGCTATCCGCATGTCAGTCAAAGGCAGGTAGTTTACATCCATGAGTGGTCTTAGGCCTGGTAAACTGGAGGAAGAAACGAGATCTTAAACACAGACATTTTGTTGCCCCAAACAGGGACAAGGGTTTTATGGGATGATAGGCTAAAAGCGGATCTGGGCTAGATCTTTGCTGATGCTGTTCGAAATTCCTGAGGTTGACCCTAGATCAGGAGTGTCAAACTGGTCCTCAAAGGGCCGGTGTGCAGCAGGATTTCATTCAAACCCAGCAGGAGCACACACACTCTTCCCATATTCCAGGTTAAGACTGGACTCATTGCGTGGTTCGAACGAAAACGAAAAAAGCTAGCCCTTTGAGGACCGGTTTGACACCCCTGCCCTGGATCATCTTCTTACTTAACATTGAATTGCTAAAGACAAGCTGCTATTATATGATTAGCATTTCTCATAATGGAAAGATAAAATAAAACTTCATTCTCACTTCTCAGTTCTGCACATTAAAGCAGAATAAAAGGACAAATGTGAGCACTCTGGTTATGCATGCATCAAACTAGATCTATTATTTATCGATAATAAACTCTATGGAGTGGATGGAATGGAACTCTATAAGCTATATTTGTACTTGGGTCAAAAATAAGTACACTTGTGGAATATACACTGTAGTCAGCAGCAGTCATGGGGTTCCATCTTTAACACCATCTTTTCACATACAATCAAATCCCCCGGGAATATTGGAGAACAAATCAAGTAGTAGATGCAAGAAGAAGTTACCATCTGGTGGCATATACAGTACAAACATACAATATTAAATCTGAAGCATATATGGAAAACACATGGAAGAGTACTGGGATGTCCCCTCAGACATCAACAAGACACAAGGGGCTTCTGTCTGTTAATACTGACAAACCAAGACGTTTACTAACAGCTGACCACTGACCACTCGCACAATGGACCCTAAACTAGAATTTCCTCCTAATAAAAAGGCATGACTGATTCCTTTAAGCACTTTCCAAGCTACAGCGAGGACAATATACAGGCCCTTGCAAGCCCATTTCCTCTGCTTAGACAGCTGGCGATTCTTGCTCTGCTACACACCCATATGGAGGCCTGCTCCGTCTCTGCTCCAGGGAAGATTAATGAGAAGAGCTGTAGACGGATACACCCCTCTCGCTTGTACCTGTCCCCGAGTGAGGGCTCATTCAGGACACAACTGACGGAGGCGTGTTTTAGAAGACCATCGTCTAAATGGGAGTCATCGACAGGTCACTGAATTACTCCAAAAACTCTGAGTTTACAAGAAATCGCTTTAAACCTGTTTTGTCAGTTTGAGAAAAAAAAAACAATCCTGAAGGTAAGCATACGCACACCTCCTCCCAAATCTAATTTAAAACCGACCATCTGTCTGCATAAAACATGACACTTTCTGCCAAACTAAGCAGGCTGAGATGAGTCTAAAAGTTTTGTTTGAATTTCATTACCGTTGACACCTGGTTGCAGTGGGTACACACTAAAGCGTAAATGAGATGGTAGAAAAACAGCATACAATCCTCATGATAATCCAGGACATTATTACATAGACACTGGATGGTGAAGTCAATACCAAAATGACAAGGAAAGTTTGAGTTTCTTATATTGTTTGTTAAAATATGCTCAACTTAACTGGTGTGCTGCCTCTTTTATGATGACAAAGAAATGTAGTCTGGCTGCAGGTTTTCATTCCAATCAAGCTCGAGCACACCTGACAAACTAGTTTTGAAACCGCATTACGCACAGACAGAACTGGCTCTACAAATGTATCGGTCCACACAAAGCTGAAGATTTATCCAAATCCTGCAGTGTAATGTATGTAACAGGCCTGATGGCGGCGCTGTGAGGCTGCCTTAGGAAACACCGAATCAACAAAAGAAACGTAAGGCACAGACCCCTCCTGCCCTTTCCCGCGCTAAAGACATTTAGTTTTTTACCAATGGCCCTTTCTGCAATGAGTTTGACACCCCTGGAGCTATCAAGACTGACGTAAACCTCATAGAACACCCAAAGTACATCAAAGACATGCTAGTGCCATGAACCAACTCTATCTCTGAGGAGCACAGGGACCGGCCTCCTGCTGGTGCCCAGAGTCCTTCTGGTTGAGGGCCGTACCTGAGTGTCATGATGTGTCCGTTGGCGCAGAAGCAGGCCAAGCAGGGTCCTTGGCTCATGAGCACCACGTCAGCCCTAAGGATGAAGGAGGTCTCTGTGATGCTGTGTTTGTAGATGCAGGTCTGAGAGGGCAGGGACACCACTTTGGCCTGTTTCTCGGAGCACACAACGGCGTACTGGCTCTCGCTCAGCTCCTGGGACGTGGAGGGCGACACTGACACCGGACGCCGCTTTCGCACTCGCTCCTCTCCGTCTGTGGTAATGTTCGGTTCAAACCAGGGCTCGTGCGCAGGAGGTAAGTGGGAACCTGACGAGTCCAGGAAGGACATCCGCAACACGCTGCCTTTCAGACGGACCAGCATGCCTGAGGACACGAGACACACAAACTTAATATTTACTATACTATTGCTATATGAGTGAGTGCTATACACAGTATATAAGTGAATCTAGAACTGCAGTCATAGCTAAATATTTAAATCAATTTCTTCTCTCTTCCAGTTACATACTGATGTGAGAATGTGGGGCGGGTTAAACATACATAATGACTATACTATAACTATACTCAGGTGTGCACATAACTTTCAGTGAGGTTCTCAGAGGAGTTTCAGGAGATGGTGTACTGTATGTCCCGTGGAGACACGGGGAGGACATGAACACTCCCTTAATGCTCCACAGTCCAGCTCTGTTTCTTGCAAAAACGCAATATGTATTTATTTATTTTGCGTTACGCAAAGACACACTCAGGGCTGGACTGGCCATTGGGCGTACCGGGCAATGCCTGTAACAAACAATAGTGTTGGTCTGTGTCCACCTCCCTCACTCCGAGACATGTTTATTACTCTCCTGTAATGTAGACTATTGCACTTTATTTTGTTGTTGAAACTGCAGACATCTTGATCCTCTACAGTATGTGCTTACGCCTACTGTATAGACAAACCGTAAAAAAATGTGGAAAAAAAACCACGCCTGGGCCGTTTTTTGGTCCTAGTCCAGCCCTGCACACACTTGCAACAAGCAGAGAATGGTCCGCGCTGGGTACATGGAGGATGTGGAATACCGTTCGAGGACGTACAGCAAACAGCAGCAAGTGCCCCGCGATCATGCACACCCTCTCTGGCATTGCACCACGCCCCCCTAGGGAGGAGCGCCCCAATATTTGAGAAGGACTGGTCTATGCGAAGTACGCAATGGCGCTTACACTCAAGTGATAGTACACATTTCTGATATTTGTCGCGCATGCGTACCTGCATACCACTTATGTGCACCCCTGACTATACTATAGTACTGTATATGCAGCAGGTAAATCTAGCACTGCTTAACTTAGCTGAATATTTTGATACTTTTCCAGTTGAAAACTGTTTGGTTCTGTCACTAGTTTGTCACATCTTTAGATCAGAAGTTAAAAAGTTAAAAAGTGTCAAACAGTGACTCCCATGGCTCTGTTTTCACAAATATACAAGATGAATATGTTTTGCTCTAATTTGTTCACATTTTACTTTCAGTTGTGAGAAAAAACATGTATTATTTATGAAAGTAAAGTCATGTACACCAGCTTTAATAACCCCACACATACCTCATCGCGTACATACCTGCAGGTGAAATGACCACTGGCTGCAGTTGCCGTTGCTCTCCAGCAGGTGGCATAGTGACTGCTAAACACAGCACGGTGCCCAGAGAGGTTCCCACAAACAGACACGGGGTGAGGATGCTGTCTCCTTTGCGAGCGTAGGTCTCACAGATGTGGAAGGAGGAGATGGCCTCTTTCGATTCTTTGTCAATGCTGGTGACGCTGGAGGAGCGCGAGCGGCTGAACGAGTTGTCCCGGTCTAAAGGGTTGCCGCCCCGAGGTGGGCACACAGACAGGAGGACAGTGGACACAAGACAGAGAGGTAAAGCACCCGCAATGGACTGATGGCAGACACACACGAACCATGAAGACACACAAAGCGCTTTTGGATTGGGGAGTGGTTTTTTGGGGCCAGGTCTGTGTGGGTCAGCTAGGGCGGACATCTCGCAAAGACCTGATCCTTTTTGAGTAGGGACAAATGGGTTGAACAAGTTACCAATGTCTACATTGATCATAGGCAGCAAGGATTATGTGCACATATATCTTATCTCTGTAGACATTTAGAAAAGCAGATTATGTACAAAGATTTACTGAATCCACTCCAAAAATACATAATGTTGTCTATGTAGAGACTGGTGAAGCCAACAAGCATAATTTCTGCAATAATCCATGCTCCATGTGGGTTAAGAGGGATCCCGGTTTTATGCGTGTCCAGTGGTGTTGTCCACAGTCTGTTCATGAAACATTGTTCAAATATCCACTCTTTTTAATCCTAGCCAAAACATATTCAAGTAACATTTATAGACTCTTATGGACCAATACCAATGTGTTTTTTTTTTAATCATTGTATTTTTTGTGTTTGAACCGTTTGATTCACTGATCTGTGTTGGCGAATTCAACGGTTTTGTTAAGTCCTCTGAGAAAACTACTATTGTGCTTTAAGGCTATAAAAGAATAAATTGAATTGAATTGAGTGCATGAATAAGTGGTGCACAATTTTTCATTTGCCCTAAACATGTAAATCTATGTGTGTCCATTAAAATGCATTTTCTTTATTTCATTGTGCTATTCGCCAAGTCACTTTCCTCCTGTGTCGGGGCATGTCAAGTCCATCCGATTCCAGAGGTGGGCCACTTTGGGAGGGGGGGGTCGATATGGCTCACTTAGGACACTATGACCCGTGCCGTACCACGAACCAGTCGGAGAAAGCGCCAACAGATACAGAGCCTATCAGATTATAGTTAACAAGGACTTGTCCTGCAGCCAAAGTTCAGAACTGGGATTGTACACTGACCTTTAAAGTACCCAGCAATCTAGAAAACAAAGAATTATGATCCCATCAACAAGTGAGAGGTCAATCTGCAAATACCAGACCACACTGTACAAAACGAGCCGTGTGTCATTAAAAGCTGTCTGTTGACACAAGCTCTGGGAGACACTGCTCTGCGAGTTTCCAATCCATTGTATGGTATTACGACTTGTGTTTTGAGCTCAACTTGCACAGGAAAAAGTTAGATTAAAAGTAGTTGTTGAAAGCACAGTCCTACAGCCCATGTGAAGATACTGATGAACCACTGAGCCAGAGAGATGACAGACGTGAAACACAGAGTAGAAAAGTGGAAGTTTTGGCCAAAGCTTTACAGTGAGATGAAGTGCTTAGCTATAGCACCACTGACCTCTGCTTAGCACCCACCAAACGTAAGAGGTGGGCCAGTCTTTACCACAACCACAAATTGAATGTATTCGTTTTGAATGCTATGACAGATCAGTGCTACTGGTGTCTCATGCAAACTCAAGATATGCCTTGCTTGCCAAATTTGAGTCTAAGAACCAGATACAACTGGGCCAATGGAATGAGGTGGAGCCCAGTTGTCGATTAAGTAAAATACTGGATACAAAATTTTGAGAGACACGAAGTCAAGGCTTACCCAAGTCTGGCTTTAGCTCAGTAGGCAAGCTTAATTTCCGTGACATCTTTGCTGGAAAAAAGAGAACATCCCTCTTTACAAACACACATCTAAGCTATCACATGATGCCATGCAAAGCTAGCTTGCTCGCTAGCACAGGGATAAATGTATGCAGGCCAGTAAATTAAACAGACGGTGGATCGATGCCTTATACGTTGATAACGGCTTCCATTTAGGAGATGCTTCAACAGAGGAGCACTGTATATAGACGAGCCCTGAGAGCACAGAGGCATGCAGGACCAGACAAACACAGAGCTCCAGATAGCGTGTCCAGGAGACAGCACATAGACCCCATGCCCCAGCATGCAACAGGAGGAAAGAAAGAGTCAACATTCGATGGAGGGAGACAGTGGAAAAGAGTCCAGGTGTACAGCAGATCTGCTTTTTATACAACGCCCTTCCACGTCCCCGTACCATAAGCATATCTTCAAATAAGCCAAGTCCTTTAATACTCTTTTTATATTATAGGTTTACATTTAAATTAGATTAGATTAGATTTCAGAGCAGCAGTGTGTGCATCCTAATATGTTCTTTGCTATGTTCAGACTGACCCGAATTGGATATGGAACTATTGGACATGTTTTTTGTTATTGAAACTATAGTTCTGAATGGAGTAAGGAAGAAGTAAAGATGCTTAAAGTAAGACATATTGGACTGGAAGAACAACTCACTGAACAACTTACCTGTTTATTAGAATACAAAAATCACCTTTTATGTTTAGGACAATTTGTGCTTTAGTAGTTTTATCATATCGTCATTTCAGGTCTATGATTTATAGTAAGTAAAAACCCTAACCCTAACGTTTTCAGTGATGATTTAATGTTGGCAGTAATACTAAGATAGTATAGTCTCTTCTTTGCCATACTGTACTCCTAAAGATCCACAGGTCGAAGGGTTGGGTATGACACGGACAAAGTCGAGCTACGTACATGTATCATGCACATTGTAATCTCCTTCAGATATGTGATCGTTCATATGAGTCCTGTCTGCCCTCTGGGCCTGCCTTATCTTTGAGATCCATTAGATCAAAACAAAGGCCAGGCCAGAGAGGAGGGAGACTCTGACAAGCCCCACTTTCAGAAAAAAAGATGACATTTCCACACTGGCATATATGTACAGTATACAGTGTGTCGTCAAAGACACGTTCACACATATAACATGTACTTTGGTGTCCTATATTCATCCTTGTGCATCTGTGTTATATAGTAACGCATTAGCTGCTGACTTGTCTCTTGCATTTAGAAATGTCAAACCATTTCTTGAATGTGGGTTTGTTTTTGTCTTTGTGTTCTCTCCTACAGTCTTTGACACACAGGACACACAGTATTTCTACAGACAAAGGGAAACGGGGCACAGTCTGGACCACTTCAGTCTGGACTCCGGTCTGGGCTAATCTTACCTCCTCTACCACCTCCATTGTAGAATTGCTGTAGATTGCTGTTTGACGTCAACACTTTTGGAGTGAAAGTAAAGTAGAGTCAAAGTGTGATTCAAAACACCCTTTCACCTGACTACCATCCACTACTGTGATCAAAATGAACTCTTTACATATCAAAGTCATTCTGTGGTATTTCACTGTAGTATCCCATTCAACATTAGACTCTAAAAGGCAAAGGTCAGGCTAAAATAAGGCACAGTCCTGTCTTAAATAACTTGTTAAGTGCAGTTGAAGCCACTTTATCTGTGTGTCCTATGAATAATGCAGGAACAGCCTGCTAAGGGCATCTGGTGGCACCGCGCTCAGAGGGTGGGACACACTTCTCTCTTTTACTGCCCAAATACAGACAGTCTTTTTCTAACTATATGTGGCTTATGTCGAGTCATAGAAGCAGGATCTAACTGGACTGGTTTTGGATATATGGCAGACTTATCTGTTGTCCCATAATGATGCCTGAGGAGGGATACATAATGGGTTAAATAGGCTCTATCTTCTGTCAATAGACCTTATGCATGAATATCAAAACTGTCTTGTATTATAAATCAATGTTTTTAGACTTAGTTCAGCTACATTACCTGACGTGGGGGACTTGCAGCGGTCCTCGGATGTGGCAGAACCCTCGTTTATATCACAAAGACCTGCAGAATTATAATCACAAAAACAGAGAGCTCATTCCACAGCGGTACTTTAGCCTTTGACAAACCATTTACTCAGTGCATGTTTTGAGTGTGTGTTGCGACATTGACACTGAGGCACTGAGCCAGGCAGACGGCAGCAGCAGCAGCAGCCCCTGTTGGCAGCTAGAGCCGAGCGGGTGATTACTGCTCTCAGCTGCGCCAAGAACTGACAGCAGCCAACCCACTGACACCAAATGTACTGTCTATGTTGCTCTTAAAAGCTCATCGTGAAGCCTCACCCGTGAATGGGCTGTTTGTCTTGCACTTTTATTACGCCATCAATAGCATTTCATCTTTCATATTTTTTCCTTTTGCGAGGCGTCAGTTCAATGCACCACTGCAGCAGCCTCTTTGAAGCTGCACGGTCTCCGCCACCAACACTAGGGGGCAGTGTCTGCATGCATGAGGCGGTGTGTTGGAGTGTTGTAATCATGAATGTGCAGATGATTTATATCTCAGGCTTTTGGTTTCATGGATAAAACTCATCTATAAAAGCTTAGTCACTTTAAGCCCTCACGCTACTAACATGTACAGCAGTATCACATGGGGCTAACATGCACAGTAGTATCACATGGGGCTAACATGCACACTAGTATCACATGGGGCTAACATGTAGAGTAGTATCACATTGACAGGCTGCCATCATGTACAGTATCACTCCTTCAGGCTCTCTAATGTACTGTAGTGTCACATGCTGCTAACATCTGAGTTCAAATATTCAGTGATGATTCAGATCCAACTACTTATTAATTCAATATTCTTGCACTAGAGTGTTACAAAATAATCTACAGATGTATACATGTATATATGTCTTTGCACTAGAGTATATATGTTTATACTTTTAATATAGGTATTTTATACTTTATAATAATTCATTTGTGTGGTGTGCTCCTCATTGCTACTGTTCTGTAACTTTGATGAGGGATCGTTTAATTCTTTATCGTAGATTATGAAGATTATGAAGCAAATTCTAGAAGTTGGCAATTCTTCATTACTGCTTGTGTTTACATACACTGGAATCACTTTCTATTTTATTGCAATTTTCCTTCAATAAAAATACATAATACATTTCTGGGTTAGTGTTTGGTGGTTGGAGCAAGCCAATCAGAATGCCAACAGTAATTATCCAAATGAAATAGAAATGGCCATTTAAAAATATAATAATATAGGGTAAGTGTGGCATATGCATTTCTACACTCAACAATGCTTTAATATGTATACAAGGTGAAACCACTATCCCAGGGCCTTGTTTACAGATAATATGGCATATGAAGACAAGACTGTGAGAGTTCATTTGAATTGTGAGTTGGAGGAGACAGTGACAGCTCCCAGAATACCTCCGGAGGGCTGCCTTGACTTCCGAGGAGAGCGAGGCTGTCTCTGGTAGGGGTCGTTACAGCCATAAAGCTCCACTGTGCCCAGGTTTAACACCACAGTCTTCTGGATGTAGTCCACCACCGCCAGACCGTTACTGTTCCCAAAGACCACGCTGAGCAGAGGGCGGTCAGGAAGAACATGGTGTGAGGATACGTGCATACACAACCAACACAGAGAATAATGTGTTCAGCTTTCAAATTTTGACTTTTTAAAACTTTTCTTCAGCTCATTATTTTTAGTTTCTTCCAGGGTTACCACAAAAAATATCCTAAATTGGCCGTGACTTTCAATTTCAATTCATGGCACGAAACTAACTTGCACACTGCATGATAAATGAAGTTTCTTCATTAGAAAAGTGACATTTTTTTTTTACAAATCCTTCCACAACATGGCGTCTTCATCTTTCTTCAAACAAATCTTGATTACTGAAATACATGCATGAGCAAACTTGTTGTGGAACTGTTTTGCTTAACATAGATGTGCTTTACAAAACAAGGTCCCAATTTGTTTCCAAATGAATTTATTCCTGAGTTCATTTTTCATTTGTCATTAACTTTACTGAAGTTGCCTATGAATCTCAGTCTCACTTAAAGATCCCCACCGAAGAGTTGGGCATGACACAAAGACTAATGTCAAGTAGGGGTGTGACGATATAATACATATATCGCGATACTTTCTCCCGCGATTCGATATGCTTTTTTTTTGTGTCAAAATTATTATATTTGTTTTTCAATTTAAACAAAAAAAATTGTAACAATACTTTTATATGGCTACATTACGCATCTACATTTCATTTATCATGAAATAAAAAAAAATATTTTATTTATGCCATAAATTGGTATATTTCTGACCAATACATCGATAATCGTCATATCGTGATATAATCGTTATTGTGAGCTTTGTATCGTGTATCGTATCGTATCATGAGGTACACTTAGGTTCCCACCCCTAATGCTAAGCCAACTACATGTAGAACTGCAAATGGAATTTCTTTCAGATTCCCTGAACAGTTTTTCTGCCCAGTGACTTTCTCTGCATTGCTTTCCCAGACCCACCAGGCCTAAAACACATGGCTAATAGCCCTATCCAAGCTTGGGTCCAGCACAATGGCAAAAATGTAAACATACATTAAATTGCTCTGATAAACTGAAGTGATGCAAAAGATTAAAGATTTAGCTGTCATGTACAAAGTTCAATGACGGGCTATTGTGTGTTATGCCTTATTTAGCCTCTTGTCTGGCACAATGAGGAAAACTTTGACTTACAGGCCGTACGAGGAGTTGAGGGCCAGACTCGTGATCTGCTGCGAGGGCTCTCCGCTCACCCACACACACTGGACGACCAAGTCCACCTGATAACCGGGAGACTGCTTCAGAGGGGCATTCCGAACCCTGAGAGAGGAGGAGATGGAAAGTAATGAATAAAACAAATCCAAGCAAAGAGACACAAGCTGCAGATCTGAAAGAGTGGTGGTTTGTCGAGGGCCCAGGGAGTGGTGGACAGCTGAGGTTGAGAATGCTTCAAGTTTGGACAAGAGCGCTTCAGGCCAAATCAGAGCCCTTTCCGAGATGGCAAAGTGCTGTTGGCGCCTGTATAAGTAAGCTCAAGTGTGTGTGCAGGGCATACACGAGGAGAATTAAGATAATAACAAGCCAACTGCGTAGGTTAGGGTTAGTCATAGTACAGCATTTCTTCAGAGATCAGGAAGATGCTTCAATCACTTATTCACATTTTGATTATGCACTGTATTAGGAAATGGCCAACCAATTGATCTGAGTTTATTGAGTCAGAGACATCTGAGCTAGCTCTGAAATAAAACTTCTTTATACCGCACTGTGCCTTAGATGGACAGACACTGGTACAGTACACAGATGCTCATAAAATGGTTTTAAATTACTTCAGGAGTTGAGGACATGACAAAAATTTTCCTTCTCATTCACTGTACAGTATGGTCTCTTATAAATGGCACAAGACCTGTTTTTTTTATTCTAAAAACAAAAGGTAAGATATTAAAACCTTTATTTGCCCCACAGTGGAGTTTTTTGAAAGGTATAAATGCTAATGGCTTGTCTTGCTCTGTATAGTGTTTTAGGACAGAAGGGAATCGTACTTGAGGCAGGGGATGTTGCTGTCCGAGTTGTTGCTGCTGGTAGAGGGATGTGATGGAGGTCCAGAGGTTAGGGGAGAGGCTCTGGGTGTAGCGTGGCCTGACGTCTGCTCCCCCCCTCCCCCGTCTGGAGAGTCACCGTCATTCAGGTCACACTGCATTCGGACTTCCAGTAACTACAGGGACAGAAAAATGAATTTGGTCAAAATACATATGTGCGGACACTGCACCGTCGCTTAACATTGTATTGATAATGTATTCTATACACAGTGTGGTAAGTCGCAATAACGGCCTAAACAGGGTTGCCAAATTAGCATCGGTTGTCAGTGGTCTGAAAATTAGATCTCCACCCACTTTAAAGTAGATCCCCGAATGATTTAGAAATTAGGTGTCAATTGGTAATTGCCAAAAAAATATCATACTGATACAATATACATTAATTTGATTTGGTACCCACAAATGTGCCCAGAGCAGGAAGTCGAAATTACCTAAATGATTATGTTACAGGTCAAACAGCCAGGTTCATAGTATTACAGAGGTCATTTTGAGAATTATTTCTTCAAATTGTTACACAGTTTTTAATTGCAACCCAGCAGGAGAGCACCAGACTCCACCCATTTCCAGGTCCAAACTGGACTCACTCAAATTGTAAGTAAGTATGTAAGTACCGCCTTTCACAGACCAGAGTCACAAAGCGGTTTACAATTGTGGGCATTTGTCCTCTCACTCGACACAGAGATGGGAGCGCGGTCGCCAGTACAGAAGGCGCATGCCAGACCTATTGTACATGTTTTTAGAGGTAGGAGAGACCGGTGCACCCGGAGGAAACCTACGCAGACACAGGTAGAACTTGAGAAGAAATTGCTGCAGTCTGATGTGCTGCTGCTTGGTTGGAATGAAAACCTGCAGCCACTCCAGCCCTTTGAGGACTGGTTTGACAGCCCTGACTTAAGCTATTTTCAAATGTACAATATAGAAATAGAAAGATTAATGACTAAATGACAAAATGACAAAACTGGAGCTACAACTGGACTAAACTAAGACTACAGGACCAAATCAGCTCTAGACTTTGGACTAAACACTACCAAAACTGGACAAGGACTGGACGAAACAAACATCTTGGGAAACATCAATATGATTTGTTGCTTATTTGGGAACAGTGGTTTTAAAACAAACAAAAATGACAAAATGCCAAGCAATTACATTGATTTATTGCCAGTAGCTAATTTCCAGAACCTAATGAGGATACATTAGCTTATAATGTCAAGTAGAGATTTATCACTGTGCCAAGTTGCATTTTCCACTTCTCGTTTACAAAAGGTGTTAATCCCACTTGCCTTCAGTCAGTCCAATGCGTGTCAAGAATTGTCCAAAGCATTACATAAGCAGTCAATCACAAATACTGATCTGATGTGGCTCTTAGTCTTCCGATTACCAGGCTTCATGGTTCTACAAGCACAAGTGCATGTTTTTCAAGCTGATGTTCAAGAAGCAAGAATCAAAATATATGATTTGAATGAGTCAACAGCTAAACGCGATGTCAATTTAAAAACAAAAAAGCACATTATACCCCCAATCCTGATTCGTCAACACAAAACGAGAATTGCTATTAATGTCGATGCAAACGTCAGAAAATCTCACAATTTAAATGTGAAAAAGAGACTCCGCCAACACCACAGATCATCTCGAGCTCACACACAGCCCAGTTGATGTACTATATGTATTTGTTTCACATTACGACCATTACTATACTCCGCCAGGTAAGTGAGGTAAATCTTATATGTTGAAATATTATTATTATATATTTGTCATTTGTATAATCAATGGATGTTATTTTGAGTACCTTTACATTGGCAGTGCAACCATCTACTGTATGTTGAATGCAAGCACGCAGTTAAAAGCCGGTTACATATCTGTGGATCTGTTAGGTTATCGACAGAGGATTTAGAGGAACTGGGAGTGGATGAGTCTGTGCCAGAATCCTGATCCGTATTGTGTGGATGGAGCCAAAATCTCCAGGTATGTTTTTGATGAAGGAGGATTTTTCATGTATGTGTCCTCCAAGTGGGGCAACAATGTCTTGTTATTATACATAGTTCCCACAGACCAATGAATGTCACATGACCTCCTCGGAGACGCCATCTTTGATGGCACGCTGCTGTGTTTGTGCATTCCATTAAACAGAAGAATGAGAATAAATGTAGATATTCAAACGCAAATTGGAAAAAAGGGCAACTTTTGAGCAAATAATTGTATATTAATACAATGGCACCACAGTTTAACGTGCTACGGACATGTTTTACATATTTGATCAAATTATGCAGCAAAAATTAACAAGCAATGCAAACATTTCTCAAAAACTTTAGATTTAATACCAGTTGGAGCTCCATTTAATTATTTTAATTACATTAACAATTAATTTAATTAATGCTAATGCCACACGGACACTCTGGATTGCTGTTATTGTTTATTTCCGCGTTTTTGACCGTATGTTTTGGTGAATGGTGGGCAACTGATTTTTCCAGGCGTAAAGAGCAGTTTATTTTATGACACAGATCTTTTTACAGAAGCAATGCTGTTTGTGAACATTGTTTTAGCCCACTATAGAACTATTATTATCTATTTAATACATTTACGTTGCCCTCGAGAGCCTCGGACGCGACACCGATCCTCCTCATAATAAAGTAATCTAACGCTAAATAATGAAACTCAAGTTACCAGATATCAGCATACACAAGTTAGTACTGAGTAAATTACGTCTGTCAACACATTATAAGATACGATACGCACCTGACACAAAGTGCTCCGAGCATATTCTTGCGTGTTTTGAGGGAGTTTCTTGCCTGTTTATCTTCGCAAGCCATAACCTCCGTGGTTGTTCTGACAAAAGCTTAGTCTTCTCACATTCATGAAGTCTAATGATGGGTATACTGTAAAATCCAAGTTTAACTGAACCTCCGGCACGATTAGATCATCCATTGACCCAGCAGGAGACGACCATTTTCAACTTTATCACACGTTTCAGCTTCTTTTTCTATTTTTTGGCCCACAGAATGCCAAGACAAATGGCGCCGGGTCGGCAAATCCCCGTATGTAGTGACGTCATGTGGGAACTATGTATTGGCTAAAACAGTAATCTCCCATAGACCTGATAGATGCTCGTATCCTGCCAACACAATTAGGAATACATTAAACAGTATTATCATAAATATGCAGCGTTTGATTGAGGCTTATGCTGCAGTTCTGTGTGTAGGCAGGCTGAGAGTCAGAGAGGTTCTCAACAACTGAAATATTGCATTACTTCTATAAGTGTACCTTGGGGCTTCTTCTAACCTCCTACCTTTGGCTCAACCACACGGGCACACACACATACACCCTCCATCTTTCCACGCTCTCATTAGTCTCTGCACCACCTCGGAAAGCAGCCTCTTCTCTCCCTGCGTCTTTTTTGTGAGGGTACAGAGGTGTTTGACCTTGTGAGGGACGATTAAGACTAATTACGGGCGCATTTCCACACACCTTCCCCGGCACCGATCCACCTGCCGGTCACACGTGCAACCGGAGAACCATACGGTCATCTTTTAATACAAAAAAGGGAGAATCAAGGTGTGTTCATGTTTCAGGATTAGGTGCAATTGTTTCAGAATCATAATAAAACATTTTTTTATTGCCATACCGGAAGTCAGCAAACTAGAAATTAGCTTTAGCTCAAAGTGCAATCAAAGGTAAAAGTAGGTATAGAAAAATCTGATTAGTTGGCAGGAAAGTCCATGGAATATAGCAGTTTTGTTTAAGTTGGTCATTTCTTGTCACAAGCTAAAAATCTTTAGAAAAGACATTAACATACATTAAAGTTTCTATTGTCGCCTCACATTCTGAAGCTTTTATGGAGCAAAAATGTCCTTTTTGTTATGATATTTGCCCAAAACTACTGTATTATGCTGCATAAAAGATCAACTGAATTTCTAAATTGCCTCAAGATGAATGAGCAATTCCAGCATGTTGTGATGTCACATATGGTGCAATATAGTGTTAATTTTGGTCTCTCAATGGGGAATGCGGTGTATGTAAAGCATGAGTAAATCTGTCCCTTGACAATGCGGAATAAAATGAAGGAGTATTCAAACTTCCTCTTAAACACAGCATATTCACTTTGGGCTGACATAGGTTAGTAAAATAAAATAAAAATGTGTTTGTAGTCTGTAGAAAACTGCTCTCTTAAGTTCTATTCAAAAAGTTGCTTCAGTAAATGCTAATGGCTTCTTATGCACCTACAGTATGTGGATGTTAATTATTCCTGTACCTTACTTCACATTAGAATTAAAGCATGTCAAAATATGTTTAGAAAAAAAAGCAAAATGATTAGTAATGCACTTTTAAAAGGAGGCTAATGGAATGTTTTTATTTTTAAAGTAAACCTATATCTTTTATATGTGTCCCCAGACAACAGTTCAACATGTACCAATCCTATTCTGAACAAAAGTTGAATGTCCATAATATTCATGTTTACGATTTGCACGCAGAATATCCAATCAGAGAAGAATCAGTCTCCCATTTGGGTTGCCAATTTGTTAAGTGACATTTAGCTGGTCTTGCTTATACAGTATTTTGAGTTGAATTAACCACAACAGACAAACCAACAAGATATCACGACCATTTAGTTTGTTAATTGCTTTTCACCCGTTGTCCCATTGTCTGTTTCATGGTACGATGACGGGACCTCTGGACCTGGCCTCCTCCATCTACACCTGCGGACTGCCCCGCCCGACCCGCCTGCGAGTGCTTCAGTCCTGCACCGGACCTGTCCACGTTCAGCGGCCACTGGTCCACGTTCTGTAGCTAGCTTAGGTCCTAGATAATTAGCCTGTCCGTCCAGAGGAGCGGATCCCTTTCTCAACTGGGTCTCCCCAAGGTTTCTCACTTTTTCCCACTGGGTTTTTATGAGTTTTTCCTTGTCGACACAGGAGGGTCTTGTTGGACAGTTAATGTCCAACAGAAAGCCCTGTTGTGACTTAGGGCTATACAAGAATAAATTGTATTGTATTGTATTGTATTTCTCAATTTACCGGTCAATCTTCGTTCCCTCCCTCACCTATGGTCATGAGATGTGGGTAATGACCGAAAGAACGAGATCGCGGATACAAGCGGTCGAAATGAGCTTCCTCCGCAGAGTGGCTGGGCGCTCCCTTAGAGATAGGGTGAGGAGCTCAGTCACACGGGAGGAGCTCGGAGTAGAGCCGCTGCTTCTCCACGTCGAGAGGAACCAGTTGAGGTGGCTTGGGCATCTGTTCCGGATGCCTCCTGGACGCCTCCCTGGGGAGGTGTTCCGGGCACGTCCCACCGGGAGGAGGCCCCGGGGAAGACCCAGGACACGCTGGAGGGACTATGTCTCTCAGCTGGCCTGCGAACGCCTTGGAGTCCCCCCGGACGAGCTGGAGGAAGTGTGTGTGGATAAGGAAGTCTGGGCGTCTCTGCTTAGACTGCTGCCCCCGCGACCCGGCAACGGATAAAGCGGAAGAAAATGGATGGATGGATGGATGGATGTATTGTATTTGTTTGAATGAAAGCAGATACAAAAAGTTACTGCTGTCTCTAGCTAAACCCCAGCCAGTGGATTGCATCTGTAATCAGTACTTCGGAGCTACGTATGTCACAGATCCTGGGAACAGAAGGTGGACTGTAATTATTAAACCACTACTTGTGTATTTTACAGACCGTGCCTTAAACATCTCATGCAAAGTCAAAAAATCTTCCATAGTGTTTTTCTGAAAGCTTTCGTAACCAACAGTGAAGGACGTATCAAGGGCAGGGGTTCAAAAACACAGCGCATTCCACCCGCAGATCTGTAAAGGGAAAGCATATCACATATCGCCCACGTGCCTTGATTGACAAGAGAACTCTGCAAAGCAAAAAAATAAATAAAATGGTGCCACGGTGAGAGATGCCAGGATTCAGACAGAGAGACACACTTGCTCATTATCAGTTTACATAACGCGCTTTAGAAATTGCACACAATCGAACTGCGCACAAGACTAAAGCTCTTTATGTTACGGGAGCGTTGTCTCCACTTCCAGCTCCGTACCGCTCTTTCCTCGCGGTGGAAACTGCTCTGTCTGTTGGCATGACAACCATACAGGCTTTGACTCGGCACTTCTGCGAGTGTGTGTGTGTGTGTATACGGTGTGTGTGAAACGGCTAAAGTGGTCACAGAGGTCACAATATGCACAAATAGCCTCTGTATATTCCACAAAACAATGCCTTTAAATAAGAAAATAGAACAAACTTATAACAACGACTTAAGCCTCAACTATACAGTAACTACAGTATAACCACCTGCTTACTATCAATACTATCTACTCTGTCTCACAATCCAAACGTGACTGTCCATCAAACAGCTAGCTTCTATCACTAGTTTTCACGTGTTTTTTTGGCCACAGTCACATCTTCTTTCAGACCATCCTCACTCAGCCAATCAGCTCTCAAAGTGTCAAATAGTGGCTCTGTCTTCTAAGTATATAAAGTATTAAATGCTTTTGTAATGAGAGGAAGACGGCATGGTGATTTGTTCACAACATTTGACTTTTATAAGAGTCTGATAATTTCTGCAAAAAATAAATTAAAACAATGGTGTACTCCAGCTTTAAATCAAAACCTTATACAGTGTACATAACTATAGTTTTTTTTTTAAATGTTCCTCACAATTTACAAGTAAGGCAGGAACGAATATACATTTTTCTCAGACTACAGAAGACCACAGACTATCTCAGGTGTCTGTGTTTTTATTGAATCATGTCATGTAAGTAAGTAAGTAATCTTTATTTATATACCGCCTTTCACAGACCAGAGTCACAAAGCGGTTTACAAATGTTATTATTTTTAGTGATTATGTATGTTTTAGTGATTTTACTGCATTGTGAACATTTAGAAAAGGCTTCATGTCCCTCCATATTTCACACGTCTCACATACACATATTTGATGGTCAGAACCTCATATTCTCCTTTAACAATGCAGAATGCAAGAGGCAATTACAATAACAATAATATTAATGTAACGGTGTCATTTTCATATAGCCCTTTTTTGGTCACTAAAGACGCTTCACATGTCATATAATTCTTTCACTCCATACACAGGAGAGATAACCACAGTGCTTTAAAGCTGCACTAACTGACTTTGGGATTTTGAAGCCGCGGACCCGCTGGCCTCGCTCTTTCTGCTCCCCTCCCCGCACCCACGAAGCTATCGCCCCCCACACACACACAGTGTTGGGACGGAGCTAGTGTCTCCCAATATGGATAATACATGGATATGGATTTTCACGTGGATGGCGTGACCATAGAACGATAGAACCGGGAAGCGCGGAGGAACGAGACTTTCTTTTGGATGGCTGTTTCGCTGTGTAAGCAGTATCCGGTGACGAAGACGAGAAAGTTTCAGGTTAGCTCCGCCGCTTGTTGTGCTAACTCAGCTGTCTGTGCTAACGGACCTGGAGATTTCTCACGAAAGTGGGGGCTAGTGGTCCGCTGTGATTGGTCACAATCTGCGACCCGAAACACATTCTCTTCCTTGTTTCATCAAAACTCGATCGAAAATATAATGTCAGGCCAGCACAACCCTGTGCTACTTTTTCTTCAAAAGGACGTACATCCCAATGCACTACATGGACATGGATAGCATTTTCGTAATTAATACGAAAATAAAGTCAGTTAGTGCAGCTTTAAAATCCCCTGCTGAAAGATGAGCCCGCTCCTGGCTTTGTACCTGGACGACTTCGGTGGTGACCTCCAGTTTGCTGAAGCGGTAGATGAGGAGGTTGGCGGACACTCCGGCCACACACAGCATGCGGCTCTCGGGACACCAGGACAGGATCTGGATGGCAAAGGGGTCTTCGTCCGACACCTCCGTGCTGCCCTTGTCCTCCTTCGACCTGTTTCTGTCAAACACCTTGGCTGTTTTGAGCTTGTAAAGCACCTGGAGCATTACTGCAAAACAACAGAAAGCCATCTCAGACAGAGCATCTTTCCCTGACTCTATTTATCATCTTTTTATGCTTTGTGAGGCCGTGCTTTGTGAATTTGCAAAAACGTGTGATCTATTGAAGAAGCCTGCTTTTGTTTTGGAAGAAGGAAAACAACATGTAAAAACTAGATTCTAACGTTTGACTTTCAAAAGTAAGATGGGGAAAAGTGAAAACTTACTTGCGGAGGCATCCCAAAACTTCACAGTTCCATCAGCATGTCTGAGAAGAGAGGGGGAAAAAAATCTTACTTACAGCACGGCAAGGCAAATTTATTTGTATAGCACAGTTTATATACAAGGCAACTCTAAGTGCTCAACAAAACAACATAGAAACAAAACAAAGCATTAAAATCATAAATAATCCCAGTACATTAAAAAGAGATTGTTTAGCTGTGCAGTTGTATGCGCAGCTAAGGAATGAGGAATGAGACTTTCTTTTGGATGGCTGTTTCGCTGTGTAAGCAGTAACCGGTAACAAAGACACGGGAAGTTTCAGGTTAGCCTCCGCCGCTTGTTTACCTCAGCTGTCTGCGCTGACGAGAGACCTGTGGCTTTTTATCAAGAAAGTGGGGGCCAGTGGTCCGCTGTGATTGGTCACAATCTGAACCTGAAACACATTCTCTTCCTTGTTGCACAAAAACTTAATCCAAAGTAAAATGACACGTCAGCACAAATCTGCGCTACTTTTTCTTCAAAAGGACGTATATCCCAATGCACGAATAAGGGTTGAATTTTCGTAATGAATACAAAAATAAAGTGAGGTAATGCAACTTTAAAGGTTGTCAGAGAAAAAGCTTGTCTCACATTTTCAGGACCGTTCCAGCTTCCAAAATGTGAAATGTTGCCTAAAGGTGATCACCCTACATGTATTCTCTAAATATTCAAGGTTGATTCTATGGCGAGTTTAACCAAAGCTTGAACCATCACAACTGAATCTACCGAGCTGACACCAGGAACTGAATCCGTCTTTGTGTAGTATTTCTTTTATTTCTTTTTAAATTTGTAGCACCGTTTTTAATGTGCTGTTTTAATGTATCACACACTTATACATCCACATCTACTGTGAATGCCAATAATTCACAACATTATTTTGGCTAGCAAATAGTGCAAACAGAAACAGACCAGCGCCGCTCCTGATTTGGTTGCTCGGTTGTTGCTATGAGATAATTTGGCTCCAGATTCCCTCATAGAGCATGCTTTCCTTAGCTCTAATCAGCTTCTCCTATAATAAGACAATCAATAGAATATATGGCTGACGTCAGCATCCATAAACTCTATGGTGTGAACTATAGTGTGAGAAGTGTGAGGGAATAAGATGGAGGGCATTTAATTATGGGTAAAAAAACTGGACCAAAATCATAGCATTTCAAGATTTCTATTATATCTTAATTGTATTCATGTCCCCAGACACAAGGATAAGTACATAATATATGCTCATTTCAGGTTAAAATATGATTTCTAATTTATCCCCAATTACAAACACAATGTACAGTATGGCCACATAACATTGCCAGTTAAATAATTTTCTAACGGAGTTCTTAAGCTAATTATCCAATCAAAAAGCAGACGTTGGGTTGCCAGTTGATTTGGTCTAAAGTCGCAAAGTAAACCAGAGATATGTGTAGGTGAAACACTGCAAGGTTACAAACAGCTAAAACTAGCTTGGAACGGAACTTTTAACCCACCTTGTAAGTTAGATTCTCGCAAACTAGCCCTGAAGTGCTTTTGAGTGCACCCTGCCTGTGCACAGTTTGACTTCAGGAAATGTCTGTAAACTTCACCAAAATAAAATGCTGTTTACCCGCTCAACCTCTGAGGTGTTTACGTTGCCAATTCAGCTGTTGAGAAAGCTATATTTTGGAGGCTGGGGCACTTTGCGAGCAGGAAGGAGTGAGACCTGCGCAGAATGGCAAAACAGCAGTGGACGAGCGAGAGCGAGAGAGGATAATAGGAGAGAGTGAGAAAGAGAAAGAGAGAGCAAGAGAGCAAGAGAGCAAGAGAGCGAGGGAGAGAGAGAGAAAGAGCCTGCTGGTGCCAAAGCTATATTTCAATGTCACTTCTACAGCGCTGTGTGTCCTGCTACTCGCCGCCCCCCACTCGCCCTGTTGACAACTTAGCACTGAATTATAAACATCTAAAAGCAGGCAAAGTGTGCGTGATTAGAATGCATTACGAGCCCTCTGCAGTTAATTTTTTTAGGAGAGAGCTTCAAGGTGGCGAGGTGGAGGGGGCACGGAGTAATTGAGTTGCGCAGTGATGATATAGATAATGAAATGAGTGGAGTCTTCTTACCCGGTAATGATGATCTCTGGGTAGCTTTGTGTGCCTTGACCCCAGTTTCCACCGCTAACAGGCCATTCCTGGGAAGAAGGCAAGATGTTAGAGGATATGGACAGTTTAGTTATTTAAGAAAAGGGGTATGTAGAGTGGATTTAGGAAATGAACATTTATTTTTGCTAATCGAATAGCTGGGCATTTACACTTTGGATCAATCTAAATCCAACTCTTTGTTTAGATCCTAAAAAGGCCAGTCAATAACCATTTTTTTAAAAACACAACTCGAGAACATCTTTACAATAACAAATGTTTTTTTAATTAAAAATACAAAGACATTTCATCCAGCAGATCATTCATTCAGCAGCTCAGAGTAATTTATTTTATTTTCTTATTTAATCATTTATTTCAGGCAAACACAGGAGCAACGCAGCTGTCATTAGCATGAAAACATACCTATAACAAAATCAAAACACTATTTAGACTGAAAGGGAGTGGAAAGAAGAGAACTTATTTGATCCCACCCCATTTTCCATTTACACATTAGTTTCTCTGCTACTGCCAACTTAAAATGTACATGTGAGAAGTGGTCACACATGTTTTAGTCTGTATGGTTCATATCAATAAAGAGGGTGATTTTGTGAGGTCTACACAAACTGGCCTCATAGCGTCATAAGTCAACACTTACATTAAAAATCACATTACCTGTAATGGTTAAAAATGAATGAAACCATTAAATCATAAAAAGTATGATTTTCCTATGAAACCCATGATTTCCCTCAAGATCACAATAAAACATTGTAAGTGCATTTTGTTTAATACTTCCATTTAGGATTGTCGGATTCCCAGACCAATTTGCGACCTCACCATGTCCATAAACAATGATGGTGCTTTTATCACTAACACAGGGGCAGCTACAACCAATAAAAGCACTTTAATATAGGTCGATGAATTTATAATATACATTTATAGACAGTAAACAGCATTATCAATCACTGAATATGTGTTCTATGCTCCCACTTCAAAAAAACAACAACGATATTGTACAAATTAAGCAAAGCCGGCTCTCGCTGAACACGTGACGCATGTGACAGCCTCAAACATGACCCACGGTGCACCTCGGCGAGCATTAGCATGTGTTTGTGCGTTAGCGGGAGGCTGCGTACACGTCGACACATACAAAGGTCAGTGGGATGACTCACACCGATCTTTATGAGAGAATGGCCTCCTGCAGCTCTCTTTGGCTTTTGCCTAAAACTAAATGCAGTAGCGAGAAAAATAAAGTAAATGAAACTATCTCCCGTTGAGAGAGTTTGGGTCAGTTTGTGGTGACATTTCCGACAGAATAAGAGGAACACGGCAACAGGGAAAGAGCAGGGGCATGCATAATGAGAGGAGGAGCAGGGGGTTGCCAGAGAGAAGACAACTGGGAATATAAAGCCAGAGTGAAACCACGCAGGTAGCAAAAGATGCCAAAACAGACGTCACATTATGGAGCACAGCGAAGTCATGCAAAAACGTCCTCTATCTGTTTTTTATGGCTCGAGGCGGCCTTCAGAGACATTTGTAATTCCGACATTTTCTGGGTTTATGACAGAGCCCAATGTGACACAGGAGACAATGTTACCTCTGGGAGGATGCTATTAATCAGCGGGACACGGAGAGGTGCTCACCGACCAGTGGGGTAGGTCTCATTGTTATGTGGGGGAGATTTCAAAGAAAACTCTCATTTACTGTCAGAGAAATATGTTAGAATGTCAACCAGGAAAGTCACATGTGTTACTGGGTACCGAGGATGGAATATTGGAATTACAGGGGGTTTGAATTGATTTCCAAAACTTGTAAACATTGATAGTGAGAGTGGGCTTAATGTGGGCTACTATGGCAAGTTATACATCATTGTTTCTTATTGCACATGTTTTTAGTGGTAGGGGAAACCGGAGCACCCTGAGGAAACCTACGCAGACACGGGACCAACATGCAAACTCCACACAGAAAGGCCTGGAGTTGGAATCAAACTTAGGACCTTCTCGCTGTGGAGCACAAGCAGAAACCACTGCGGACCCGCAAACTAGAAATGCTAAAAAACCAATCTATGACAGACTTATTACAGAGAATGTACCGGGTCAGGTGAAATAAGTTTAACTTCAGCCTGAACCCTTCGGTCGCATTTTGTAATTCTGTTGACAGGTAACTGTAACTTTGTTTTTCTATGCTTTACTACTTACTACTTACTACTTACTACTTACTACTTACTACTTACTACTTACTACTTACTACTTACTACTTACCACCACCACCACCACCACCACCACCACCACCACCACCACCACCACCACCACCACCACCACCACCACCACCACTACTACTACTACTACTATATACCAGGCCTTTTTGTTATCATTTCAATAATTAAAACTCACAGCCTGTAAAAATCTCAACAGCAGTTATCTCGGAAGACTTTCTAAATTGTTGATTCAATAAAACAGATCAGAAAAAAAAACACAGGAAATGGAATGATTTTTAACAAACAGAATCTTGGTATATGTCACTTTATATGTATTGAGTCTATATAATATAGTAGCTTCACATTTTAAATTGATTTATTTCAGAAATAAATCAACGTTGGAACAATATCATAATTTAGAAGTCTTTTAACACATTCAGTTTCTGTCTTGGTTTAGTCTGTTCTTTCTGCAGTAAATTGTATTATTTCAAACCCACTGCTTTACACTCGTTTACTTTCACTTTACCCGTTTGCTGTAGCCCTGTCGTTTCTGCCGCGATCCAGCAGAATAAAGTGCAGGTATGAGATCCACAGGGCAGTCGGCAAAATACTCGCAGCACGTCACAGGAGACTCGTGGATGGTGAGGGGGTAGGGGTTTTCAAATATCGGGTAACTGCAAAAGAATCGAGATAAACCATTTGAATTTATAGTTTACATTATTGATTGATACCAAAACTGCACTGTAGTCTGTGTAATCTCCCCAAGAAACAAATGCACATACATATCTGGCTGTAATCCTGTGTAATGCAAATTATTTGAAATCATTGACCAAACTTACAGTGGCATTTTCTAAGCGGTTCTGAAATACTTTAAAAACTCTTTCAGATCATTCCGTTGTAAACAACATGTGTGCCAACATGCTGATAGATTATTTCATTTTTGTTATTTCTTCTTTATTTATATATTGGAAGCCTCAGAGCTAAAGATCAACTACCTAAATATTCTTGCACTAGAGTACTACAGATTTATCTTCAGATGTATACACATACACATACATATTACCAGAGTTTACAGAATTGTATATATTGTTTTATTGGAGGATGGTGGATAGAAAGCTATGGCCTGCGCAGGTGGACAAATGCAAGAAAAAACTGAAAAAACTTAAATAACTGAGACCTGAGGGAATAAACTGAAAAAACTTCCAGACAGCTCTGGTGTGCCACGATCCCGTCTCTGTGTGGTTAATCTTCCACATGAGCTAAAGTATAGAGTTGTGCTATACTAATCTACACTTATCTTGTGCGTGCTCCTCATTCCTACTGTTCTGTAACTTGTGATGCAACACTGAAATTTCCTCACTGTGGGATGAATAAAAGGATCTCATCAACAGGGAGCAAATCAGGTATGGTTTCGTCAGGGGTTCAGGATAGGACTCAAGAAATCAAACCGACTTGCAACCCCTACTGTTGTATACATACAATTATACAGTAAAGTGAAGCAAACAAAATATGCTTTATTAATTTTTGTTCTGTTTATTTGATTAATGTATTGTGTCGTTTGATCCAAAATGACTTAAAATCATCAATTCTGACTTAAAAGGCATCAAAAAGATTGTAAAAGACTGAATGTAGAAATTGTACAAATGCTACCAGCTATTGTTCAAACCTATCCCTAAAACCCATTCAAAGTTCTCTGTGCCTATTCTTTTCTTAAAATTTAACATCTAACCTTTTGTAAGCTACTTGTTCTGATTAAAACATCTAGATTGAGGTCGATAGAATACAATGCAATTATTTTGAGGAAAAGGAAATCATCATAACACACACATACAACATGACATATTATTGCTGGGCCCTCGTGTCAAAACGGCAGATTACTTTGACCAATGCAAGGACAAGAGAGCTCACCCGTTTTGTGCAAGGTCGATCACCACTAAATCTTTTTCTAAGAGGACCACCACAGCATAAGGTTCCTGAAAATCTGCAGAGAAAAACACAAAGCGCAGTCAGCAAGTCATTCATCACACTGCACTCACAGAACAGAACATGGTAATTACTTAGAGGGGAATCTTAAACCACAGGGGAGGAATTCCACACACTTTCTATGGGAAATACTATTATCATATCAGTGCCCTCAAGAGTAAGGGCGAGGGGGGCTAATGCTTTCATTTACCCATGCTAGGATTTATACTGCGGGCTTGAGAACTGATTCAATATTAGGAGAAATCAGATTGTCTTCAGGAGTTTTGTTCTGGTACGATTAGAAAAAATAAAAAATAAAAACATTACAAAAAAGATACAAAAAGTGTTTTAACAATTTTACAAAACCGTTGAATTCGCCAACACATATCAGAGAATCAAACAGAGCCATTGACCCATAAGGGGCAGATGACCAATGGGCATAAATGTTGATAAACAGCCATTATAATGAATTGTTTTCATTAATTCTATAATATATACTTTGTGTGTGTCTCATAGCCTGTGGTTAGGGTATAAAACTGTATGCACTGCACTGTGTTCTGTATGTTATTAATGATATTGTATTGTGCGTATTATTGTGTGGTGGTTTGAAATGAATCAAAGTAACTAATACATAATACACAGTAGGGTTGGGCGATATTTTTTTTGTACCGGTATACCGGTATAAGTAAATTAAATGATAAGAAAATGCCTTATACCGGTGAAAACGATCATTTAACACTGAAAACAGCGAGCGGAAGACACGTTTGTGTGCGGCGCACTTTGATGACGCATCTGCGCGACACGTGTACCAGAGCGGCGTGCAGGGACAACAACAACAGAGCAGAGAGCAAACATGGCTGAGGGCGGCGGTGAAGACCATGGTGAAGACATGCAGATTGTAGAAGACATTGTGCCAAAACGCGGAGCTACCTCAAACATATGGGAGTAGTTTGGGAACTAGATAAAAAGAAGCAATTGTGTGTAACTATCAACAGTGGATCTAATGTTGTGAAAGCAGCTGCAACAACTGGACTCGAGTGGCTTGCTTCGGACACTCGCTCTCTCTCTCTCTCATAGTGCCATTGGTAAGCTTTATTTACTGTTTACTGTCATTCATTTTACTTCAATGCATGTGTTTGTCTACATTGCAATATAATTACAAATAAGTTATAATTACATAATTATAGAAACGCAAAAGGATACAAAAAATATATACAGTATTTGATAATTTTGACTATATTGGGATTAGGAAACATTAGCCAAAGTGATCAAATAATTATTTGATAATGCTACACTTTTTATATTACAAAGGACAAACTTTTATATATTTTACAAATTACAAATGTTCACCTTTATTACATGTTGCCTGCAATTTTCAGTATGTACAAAACAGAATTCTCTAGTAGTAGTAGTAGTAATCTTTATTTATATACCGCCTTTTCACTGCACATCAGAGTCTCAAAGCGGTTTACAATTGTTATTTTTGGGAGTGGGGGTGCCAGAACAGGAGGCACATGCCAGACCTATTGTACATATTTTTAGTGGTAGGGGAAACCGGAGCACCCGGAGGAAACCTACGCAGACACGGGGAGAACATGCAAACTCCACTCAGAAAGGCCCTGGTCCAACCGGGATTCGAACCCAGGACCTTCTTGCTGAGAGGCGAGAGTGCTATCCACTCAGCCACCGTGCCGCTGTGTGTCTCTACAATTCAGTTTTGTTAATACGTTTTATATACAATAGCTGTATTACAAATTTTGCTGCCAATAAATCAGTAAATGCACTTTGAGGCAAGTGTGTTTAAAATTATCAGTGCTAAGTTTTTATAGCTTTTATATGAGGCTTTGTTCAAATTATCATATCGTCATATCGTGATACATACCAACAAAAATCGTGATACATGCTGAGGCCCATATCGCCCAACCCTAATACACAGCAAAAGAAGGAAATGTGTTGTGGAATGAATATTTATTAAGCAACTAAAGGCGGTGCTTGGGAGTAAAGTTATTATCAAATTTCTGAAGACATCCAGAAGAACAGGATGGTGATACCTTCGTTCTGTCATGACATTATAGAAACTAGCAAGTAAGTAAGTAATCTTTACGTATGTATATTACGCCTTTCACAGACCAGAGTCACAAAACGCTTTACAATTGTGGGCATTTGTCTCTCACTCCACAGAGATGGGAGAAAGGTCGCCAGTACAGGAGTCGCATGCCAGACCTATTGTACATGTTTTTGGTGGTAGGTGAAACCGTAGCACCCGGAGGAAACCTATGCAGATCCACTCAGCCACCGTGCTGAGACTTTCAACTAGACTTTCCCCACAGCAGAACAGAGTCCAGTTTGTCAGTGGGACTGTCACAGCTCCGTCTGAAGCAGCGGCCCACTCCTGTTAGTGCTGCTCCTGGTCCTGAGCGAGTGACTCATATTGTGAATGTTGCACAACGACTTACTGAGTCCACGGCCGACTGTCCAGTCCACTAAACATGTCCAGTTTAGAGCAGGCCAAAGTGAAAGGAAACAATGCTCCGAGGAATGACAAAGGATGGCAAAACAATATAATGTTCGTCCGCGGGAGCAGCTCTCAGAGATGTTTGTTTATATTGTATACCGCTGGTAAATTATTTTGAAATTAAATGTCTAGTGTTTTTCTAGTGCTGGAAAATTGCATCAAATATATTATGAAATTGTTATTATTATTTTTTTTATATATGGTGTGAGCTGGTTTCTTTAATGCCTTATGTGATTTTTATGTTTATGATTTAATGTATGATGTGATATTTATGTGATGTGGGCAGTGAAGCACTTTGTGTTACCATATTAGTCCGGTCCTCAGGTCTCTGCACTGGCTTCCTGTGGCTCAGAGAATAGACTTTAAAACAGCTCTGCTTGTGTACAAGTCTCTCCATGGCCTCGCACCAAAATATATTAGTGACATGTTAGTCCCATATGAACCAGCCCGGACTCTGAGGAGCACAGGGACTGGACTCCTGTTAGTGCCCAGAGTCAGAACTAAACATGGGGAGGCTGCTTTTCAGATTCATGCTGCTAAAATCTGGAACAATCTTCCTGAAGATGTGAGACAGGCCTCCTCTCTGACAATGTTTAAAACCAGGTTAAAAACGGTGCTGTTTAGCTGTGCATACAACTGACGGATTTTATGTTTTTATCTTTCTTTTTAATGTTCTGAGATTATTTATGATTTTAATGCTATTTTGTTCAGCACTTTGCGTTGCCTTGTGTATGAATTGTGCTATACAAATAAACTTGCCTTGCCTTGCCTTACCTTGTGTAGGTAAGCGCTCTACAAATAAAGATTGATTGATTGAGCTGTGTCCTCCTCTCCTCTTGTTCTTGCCAACTTCAATGTTATTGTGATTTTATACTCCCTTTTAAATGTTGCTTGCTGCAAAACCAACTTTTCCTTGTGGGACAGTAAAAAGAATTTTGAGAACTTTAAGTTGAAATTTCTATTCTCTGAGTTTCACCAGTATGTAATTGTGAGTCGCGTTATTTTTGGGTAATGGGTATTTTTATATACATTTTGAGCATTATCATAATTGAAAGAGCGATCTGTAAACTTACAAAGCTTAAAATACAAGTGAGTTGGGCTTTGTACTTGCTGTACTTTATTCCATGCACCAGTGTCTGCAGTGAAGTCGAATAAACAAATATGCATTGTGTAATCAGGACAAATCCAGGCCAGTTTTGTCCAGATAAGATTCAGTCAGTGGGTGGTGACATCAGGTTGGCGTGGCATAATGAAGTCATCATGGTTCCATAACTGCCTAATCCTAGTTGAAGTCATATATCTGTCAGAGTAGATTACATACACACCACACTCTCTCTGTTAAAATCTACTATTGCGGCCTGTTCTGCTGTTGTGAATGTTTACTCAGCAATGCACAAATAAGATCCTCATTTCAATTTGGAGGAACCCATTGTTGTGTGTAAAGACTTAAAAATGTAATATTCAGTGTTTTGAATAATGAAACGGCAATGCAATCCTCCCCCCCAGGGAAATTTCATATTTATACAAAGAACCGCACGGCAGCCAAGCAATGCAGCGCAATTAAAATCAGAAACGGTTTGGCTGTACGATTATAATGTTTGCACACAGAAAGGTAAAAACTGCAAACAGAGGTAAACTATGTACAGATGCTCAAAGAGTAAGAATAAACAGAATGTAATTATTCAGAATAACTTGCGTTCTATGTTTATTTGCATTTTGAAGCTTGCAAAATAACCCAAGGTCTGTGTGTTCACTGTAGAGCACTATACAGAGCTTTTTGGATTCTAACTGGGCACTAACAAAAATGTGCATATGTTTTGAGATATGCAGCAACATCCAAATAAATATTAACTTTAAATCATGTACCCAGTGTTGGGGAGTAATGGAGTACATGTAACGTTACATATTCAGAATACTCTTTTTGAGTAACTGTATAACAGTTACTACTTTAAAGTATAGTATGTAGAATACAGTCACTTTCTGAAAATCAGGAAATATACTTTCAATCACTATTTGATTCTAAAACACAGTTAGTCAAAATATAACTGCAATGCAAACTTTGTCTACCAGCAACTCACCCTTTATCCATGGTGCTATTTAGTGCTATATAAAAAATAGCCCCCGCAGAAACCATTATGGAACACTATATTTTAGTCCATGTATTCAGTATTGTAGAACGGAATGCATTTTTCCGCAACACTGCATATATCATTTTAATGCTATTTTTCCCAAGAAAACAACCATATCACATTTATTCTAAGCATTAAACCCAAGTCAATCCAGATTTGGCTCAATTCAATAATTAATGTTGAACTAAAGTAATATATAAAACATTCACAGATAAAAACAAACTTTCCAAACAACAAAAATATGGATATTTTGGATGAAGTCTTATGATTTCATAATTTTGGTATAAGTCTTATAAAAATACAAAATACAAAATGATCATGATCATCATCTTCTCTTTTAAACACATCCCTCAGCCCCAGAGTGAAATAGTTTAGACACCCCTGATACAGAGAGTACGTACCATTGGAGTATGGGGTCTCGCACAAAGTGAGGAAGTCCACGATGGGGTAGTCCATCTCCAACACCGCAGTGCTCTTCCCGTGCATCACAGTCAAACAGGGCAGACGTCCCACTGTGTCGAAGGACAGGCCTCCAGAGAAGATTATAAAGGGCTCCCTGGGACCACACATAAAGTTAGAGTCAAACTATTATCAAATCAACTCAACAAAAAACAAACAGGATTCAAAACACTTTGCTTCAACCCTTTTCACTCTTTCAACACAGAAAACACACACAAACACACTGACCCTACACTCTTGGTGAGAGTTTACAGTATTATACAGTAGTGAAGAACAATTTGATTAAAAATATTGGACATGGAATCTTTTCGTTGAGATATTTCAATTTTTAATGTTTAAAGTAAAAACTGTAATTATTTTTTTTTTTAAGAAGTAAAGCAACAAACTAGGGTCACTCTAAAAATATCAAATGTAAATCTTTATAGAGCATGTCTTAGAACACGTTTGATAGATTGCAACATACATAATATAAACTTTACTGATCTCACAACTGAGAAATGTACAATATTGAATACTACAAAACTACAATGAGATTAGGGTTTTTAATTAATTGAGACTTGATTACTTTTGCACAGGCAAGGGAGAAGAACATATTCAATTCAATTATGTAGTTTTGAAGTATTTAGATGATACTAGCATGTGACCCTGTACATTTCCATATTATATGTCCCAATAAAGGCAGTATTCTTCAAAATAATATACATTTAAAACAGTCCATCCCCTTGTCAAAAGATTAAGATCGGCTGGATGAGCATAGTTCGACCAATAATGAGTCTTTCCTGTAAGTCAATTTGGTCCAATCAGGAAGCTGTGGGGGTGAGTATGGGCGGGTCTAACTGGTGCCTTCAATAATGTTTTCTTTCTTCATAATATGGAAAGTACATTAACTTTAAGCAATACATTGTTGAACGCTCTTACTGGCTCAGTTTTACATTTTACAGCTGCAAAAAGACAAGATGCATACCCAATCCTGGTGGTTTTGTACTCCACTTTGAGAATGGGTTTACAAGGCTCTGGCTTTTTCCCGTCCTTGGGCTGTTTTCCTGAAATCCACCAAAAGCACAAGTTGCATTAGTTTCTCACGCCTCCCCATTCTTCTTCCATCTCCATCTCCATCTCATACCCCAACCCTAACCCCCGCCCCAACCCAAACCCCCACCCTTCCAGCACCCCTTCTCAGGACTTGCACGACTGTATAAGATGCAGCACTGAGCAGTAATAATACCAGCGGGCGATTTATCAGCAAGAGGCAGAAGACGAATGTGGGACAGAGCCATGCAAAAGAGGTGGAAGGATCTCGCATGATTTAGTGGAGCCATCTATCCGGGTCGCATCAGGGAGGGCTGTGTGAATGAAATCTGCACGTCTATCGCTGTGAGCGCACCTGCACAATCTCAACTCCTGTGAGCCGAGATTCGAGTAAACTGCAGCAAACATATAAATGAAATTCCCTTTCTTCTCATTCTTTTCTTGGTCAGACGTGCAAACATCATTCTACAAAGCATGTTATAGGAACACCCAGAGATCATTCCATTAGATTTTGGTCTAGATTTTAGGGAAGTGAGTGCTTCACTGGGTCAATGAAGTTTAAATATATTCAAAATTACCAGGTGCCCTGCAAGAATAGGATAAACATAGATTAAAACACAAAGAAATTGCATTTTCATGAGAAAGGGGTGAAAAGCAGGCGAAATCCAAAACACACTGGTGACATAGAAGTCCTTCTTTATTTCAATGGATGCCTGTAAAATTTCACCAGTATAATATCATCAGAATGATTGATGCCCTGATGATTCCCCCTCCTACTCCTACATACCTTTTAAGATGATTTTGCCTAAAGCCTGATATGGCAAAATTAATATTTGAATATCATTGCACCAAATCCACTGGAAACATAGCCCCACCTCTCTGCAAAAAAGTGCATGCTCACAGGATCACTCTAGTCTTATTTTGACCCTCTACAGTGCTCTCAGCTATACCTCCAGAACTGCTTATTGCTTTTGCTTCTCTTCTATTTTTGCCAAAATCACAGAGAACCGGCGTGTGCTGCTACATAAACAGACGTGGCGATAAACTCCATGGGAAAAGGTTGATTTTTCGCACAATTGCGGGTTGACTGGCAGAGAGGTAGACCAATTATTGGCGTAAACAACCCATTTAAATTGGTAAAAACCTCTCCCCAATACCATAAAACTGATGTGTGTGATTATAAAACATATCCTCTGCAATGACTGGGCATTTCTGTAAAGCACTTGATCTTGCACTTGACAATTGTTCCTGTCCTTTTTGTACTTTTTATTGATAGATCAACAAATTGTGGATGTGAAAACAATCTCCATTTTGGTCTCATCCCAAACTATTTGCGCCACTTTGCTTAATACAAGTGTGCAATCAACACAATCAATCAATCAATCAATCGTGAAATGTATTACAGACTTTAATAAGTGGTCTCCATACGAACGTTAATAACTACATCTCTCAGACAAATATCGAAAAAGCCAATTAAAACAGAAGTCATAAAGCTCAACTTAAACCTGTCAAAAGCATTTACATAATTGTACATTAAACACAAACTAATTATACGAACAGCAGCAGGAGAAACCGACTAATTAAAAAGCGCTGCGTGGTGAAATCCTCTGTGCACAAACACCACACAAGAACTGGTTAGAAGTACTAATATTACAAAGCTTCATATTGGGCTCTGTTGGATGGCCAGTTATTCCGAGGGTCTTACATCCAAGTGGACAATCAAAGTGAGGTGTAGGTGTGTGCAGGGGACAAACAATTATACATTTATTAAAAAAACAATTCATCTTCAAAAAGAACCGAGCAGTGAATTAAGTAAATAGAGTGGCAAAGCTAATGTATGCGATGCAGAGGAGGGCAAACATTAAGACATAATTGAGTTGACAGTAATCCAACGATTTAAATGAGGGAACAGTGAGTGGGCTGTGGGTGGAGGGGAGCACTGCAGAGAATCCAAGGTCACATGACACACACAAAAAAGCATTTTAATGGGCAAGACAAAAGGACTATTCTTTGCTGGAGAGGAGGGATTTTAACAGTTCCATGTTTGTGAACAGTAAGGAACATGTAATACAAGTTAGCATCAGCACCCATCAATCTAAACCTCCTGGTAAGGTTTTGCACAGAGGAGATATTGACCTTTCATCTGCAGCAGTAAGTTTGTATCAGTTTGAGGACAATATTTCAGAGTAGACTCCTGCCTTAAACCCCATTTGCCCTCTTACCGTGCGGCGTGATTGTCTGTATGGGCTTTCCTTGGCCCCTCATGTTCCATATGGTCAGGGTCCCGTCTGAATGACTGCAGATGAACTGTTTGCCCTCATGGTGCCAGGCGACAGAGTGGATTGCCTAAGAAACACACACATACACGCACACACAAACGCACGCGCACACAGGAAGAATGTCAGCATCAGGACCACACGCTGTCACGTTCCATCACTGCTGTAGTTCCACTTCACTGACCACAGAGTCTCGTACGTGGGCTAAACCTCTTACAGTCGTCAGCAGATGGTCTACGTGTGATAACAAAGTCTGGCCTTTGACTGGAAAATCCCCCACAGCACAAAAGTGGGTGATACTGCACAGAAACAGGTGGAGCATTTAGGAAGAGGCAGACTTTCCTAACCCAGCATTAACGATTATAGTTGAATACCTAAATGTTGCCTCTTTTTGAGCACTCTACATTATACGGTCATTCATTCAGTTTTACAAAGACAATAGGCAATGAAACTAAGGCCATACATGCTTGTCTCATCTGATCTCAGACTGGGTCTGGTTTCTAATGGGATGTGAGCCTGCTGTCGTGTCCTTCGGCAAGACACTACACTTAACATTTTATGAATCTGATGTGTTGGATGCCAGGCAACAGCATTAGTTCAGTAAATGTAAATGAAGAAATGTCTAATGTTGGTAATGCCAGAGAAACTCACATCTGTAAAGAAATAAAAAAAAAGAAAAAAAAGCAAGAGCTAAAAGAGTATGATGCCTTGAGCATCACTATATAAAAGTGTACTACTTAACTAATGCGTGTCAGAAAGAATCAATTATACAGCTAAAATAGATTTTAACCAGTGGCATAAATATATTGCTACATAAATGCTAAATGATTATTCCGCTGTCAACTTAGTTGACAAACACAGCCATGAGCATTGTCTATTCTTTCAATTACCTTTTTTAGTCTCAAACAACAAAATAAGCATACACTTTATAAACCTCAGAAGCAGAGCTGTAAATGTGGTTCATACATTGAGGAGTTTTTCTGTATTAGAAGCTGAATTGTTTCAGCCGCTCTCATTCACACAGTCCTGCTCCAGTCTGACTCTGATTTATCAACTGACAAGCAATCATTGAAAACACAAACACATAATGACCCAAGAATGCCAGGAAAAGGCCAACCTTGCTTATTGCTGCCCTTTTCAAAGCTGGTAATTAAAGCCAACGGATGGTTTTGACATTAAGTAAATATGATGACTGTCACTGCAGCTCACTGCAGCTCCTAAACCTATTTCACACATGTTGCATTTGAGAGACATGCGCTTTGGGGGTATTTACAGCTGCACTGCTTGTCAGAAGTAGAACATATAAAACCGTATTATTACCACAGCTCTTACAGGGGAATATCAGTATACGTGTTTGTGCAGAGTCAGTAAATATGTTAACTGACTGACAGAAGCAAAGGCTGAGCCAACAGATCCTCTGACCACCAACTTCACACGGACACCAAATTCCAGGGTAATAGTAAGACACAATGACAATTTAGCACTTTATAGCCTCAGCCGCCCCCAAGGTGGCATCTGGTAACTTCTGAGATATGATTCTGGGGTCAGGCACTGAGGAGCAGGAACAGCCACAAGTAGTTAATGCTGTCATTTGGTTTTTATTGGAAGCACAATTTGGGTTTCTAAGCTGTAAAACCATTTTTCAGAACCCAAAAGTGTAATATTATTTTATCACCGATGTACCATTCCATCTGCATGTGCGCGTGTGCATGTGCGTGTGCGTGTGTGTGTGCGTTAGCCTCATCATTAATCACATGTATCACCATAATGCATCATGCAGACTTCGCTCAGGCTTTAATAAAGTGATCGCACAGCATGTATCGATCCTCTTACTTTATTTTAAGGGTCAGTGAGAGCGGCTGTCAGCGTCTCATGTTGTGAGGTTCCTCAATAATAAACAGACATAATGAAGTTACTTTTCAAACTGTGTTTCTGTGGGGTTTTCAATCGTGTCATCTCAATTAGAGCAGTAACTCACCATTTTGATCATTATGAGTCTATGGTAAAGAAGAGAATGAGAAACTCAACCTGGGAACTACTGTATACGGCAATAAATTTAGTTTAAAAAAAATGTCCACATGTGCATATATTATGACAAAGACGCTGCTCTAAATGACAGCCCCACTAGGGATAATGGCTTAATGAGGCACTCCGTCTAATTGGAAAATGAGAAATAATTGAAGCACATGATGATCATTATTTCACACAATAGTAATTAAAAAGACTAATATGATACATAGGTCAGTGTTCCCAGACAGGTCCATTGAGAATAAGTACAAGACGTCAAATACACGTGATTACATGAAGTTTGTATGGGGCATCAATGTTGTATATGGAAATGTTAAATGTCTATTGTGTGTACTTGTATCCTATAATAGTATTGAGAATTTGCATGCATGCCTCCATATCTATATACAGTATATTCTGTATAATGTTCCATCAGTGTCCGGGTATCCACTGTTCCATGCATATCATAGTTGTAATAGGGGTTATTGTAAAATGTATAAGATCTATGAAAACATGTGAACTAAGATCTAATGTTCATAATAACCTAAGAAATGAAAGATTATTATGATCATGCTGCTGCTACTTTACTACTTTTTGCACCATATACTACAACAAACAAAAATAGTTGGGGAGGGAGAGCCTTTCTACTGGCCGGGCTGGATTCAGTTATACCTTTGCTGACAACATCTTTTTTAACCTTCACATGATAAGTGTATCTAATGCAAAACTAATGTATGTGGAATCGCATCTCTACATAATGAGTCATGACGTGTTCTGACGTGTAATTTCCCTTTATGCTGATGGATAAGGCCCTCGGAGACTGACCGCAGCATAAAGAAGAATGGTCCGAGCTAATGGATATCGTAGCGCATTTGCCAAGTTACGTCGGCCCGCCCAGAGTATTGTGTTCTGAGCAAAGCTGAGGGTAAATCCACCACTGCCCAGCGGAGCCTGTCCACTGTCACAGATGGTGTGGTAATCTGGGGGATTTGTCTTCCAAATGGGCAAAAAAGTGTCAATTCAAGCTTATATTAGAGACAGCTATTAAACATACTGTTGTGAAGGCTTTATCAAACTAAGAGTTTCAATTTCCCACAATGAGAACTGACTGCTTATCAACTACTATTCATGCCACGCACAAAAAAGACAAAAAATAACATTGCAACGTTTCAATTGTCTGGAATAGAATAACTCAATAACTTTCCCTTCCTAAATTTTTAAACTACTTCTAACTCTTATCTATGCCATGCTGTGCTGTGCTTGGGCAAGACATCTAACCCACTTTAACTTCAATGTCTGGAGTCCTTTCTCTAACCCAGTGTCTCCCAAAGTGGGGTCCGCGGCCCCCTGGTGGGCCGCGAGGGTACTGCAGGGGGGCCGCGGGAGGTCATAAAAAAAAAATATATATATTATTTAATGTTAAATTTATAATGTTTTGTTTGTAATATTAAAATATTTGTGTTCATTATTTTACTTGAATAATCCACTGTAATCATTTTTGTATTACAATGTTTGTAGCAGAGGCTATTTCCCCAAAATAAAATAACCAGAAGAGCCTATTCTTAATGTTGTCTTCTTGGTTATTATTTTGGGGGGCCACGCAGACCCGTCAGATTTTTAAGGGGGCCTCGGTGTTACTGAGTTTGGGAATGGCTGCTCTAACCAATACGTATTCTGCACTTTATATGGGCTTAATGTGCAGAATAATCATCCAAGGAGAGGATTACAAGGCAGGATTAGTCCGGGGGGACATCTCCGTTTTGCTAGAAACCAGATTATTTGCAAAAGCCAGAAGTGAAAAACCAAAGGCTTCCTCGAAAAGAGCTTAATTAGTATGAGATTAATACATCAGACATGGAACAAGATTGTGAAAAAGTTATCTTTATTAGAAAAGCTGTAGCCGCGTGAATAATAGGCTGCTTCTGAGAAATGACACAACAATTATAAATCCATCCCATTTCATTGAGCAAGCAAATGTCTCTGGAAGAGAAATGGTACGGCTGCGGCGAACAGGAGAGGCGCGGGTAAAGATTCTGGCTGTGATCTGGACCATCAATCAGAATCCAGGGTCGAGGTGTGGAGCCCTGCCCGGGAAAGTGCCCAGGGTCGCTCTGACGGATGCGCATTGGCCACCCTCGATACCCATAGTGCTGATGCTACGGCTAAGAATAGACTATAGGTGTATGTAAAAGGTCTTCTCTCAGCTCTTTCAAAGCTTGTAAAAACTAAACAGTGGTGTAACTTTGTCGCAAGGTTGAACTCTGTGAATTTGATGCCGCTGGAGTGGCTTCCGAATCTCGAACTAACAACATGGGGTCATAAAAGTCACTAAAATGTCTTTATATAGGGATAATTGTTGACATCGCAAGACAGTTTTTCAAAAACAGAAAGTATGTGAGAGATATAGCAGTGCCTACACAGAATTCAGTAAAATATTATCCATTTACTCTTCTGAGGCTGTGTGTTTGTTTTAAAGCAAAGTCTTGTACGCTTTCTTTTGATATTCTGCAGCAAGCTTCTGGGTGAATGAAAATGCACAGCAGGGAGGATATAGTTCACAAAGATCTTTTTACAGCTATCAAATACCCCTGCCCAACAGTAAGTCAAATATTGTGTTGAGTGCCTTTCTCCTTTTGCAAATATGACAAGGGGAGCACAACGCGATGGAGCTAGCATGACTCAATACAAATGATGGTGACATTAATTTTTTCTTCCTTCACCCTGCATTGGATTGTCATGTTAAGTAATGTAAAGCAGTGACGCAATGCATGCTTGTGAATGTAGGATATGCAAGTATTTATTTGTCACAATGTTAAATTCCAACACATGGCCTGAGCCTAATCCACCAAAAGGGTGCTACTGGGGCTAGAACTAGTGTTAATCTGATTGTGAGCAGTTTGGATGTTTTGCCCGAGGACAAACCCCAGAGGTAAATTCTCCATTGTATTGTACATTATTTTGTACAACATCAGTGTGCAGTGAGATGGAGGGCTAAAGCAAGGCACCCCTCCTTACACTCGCTCGCCCACACACAATCTCACCCCAGAGAAATGGGACCGCCGGGGCTCGGAGAAAGACAAGATGAGCTCCCATGGGTGATCCAATCCAACACTGTAATACCAGAGGTGCAGCACAGTGATATTAGCTTATCTGGAAGTGGGGAGGAGAGAGCGAGGCGAGCCTTATGCGACATACATACCAAATCCACCTTGTGTCTTTGTGGTGGCAGTGGTTATCTGCGAGCTCACAGCCCTACGCAACACCAATGAGGTGAACATCAGCATGGGAAGAGTAGTATTATCTCCAACAGACCAGAGCGAACTCATGAATGTGTATGCAATTGTGTACATGTGTGTGTGTGTGTGTGTGTGTGTGTGTGTGTGTGTGTGTGTGTTTGTGTGCCCATGGCCATTCAAACACGGTTTTATGAATGGGATCCAGCAGGTCATGACATTGCCAGTAAACGCCTCTATTGTGGGAAAAGGACGAAATAGATTTAGCATTGCAGACCGAGTCATAAATGTCAAAGGCGGGTTGAACATCCCAGGCCAGCTATAAACCAGAATACATCAAGCAGCACGGCCAGATCCAATATGGCTGCTGAATATGATGACATGCAGAAGAGAATGGAAACAAATACGACTTTCCTTTTTCATCTATATATTGTGATGAGATTCCACAATTTTGTTTAAAAGAAGCCATTTGCAAAAGTGGTGTCAAGGACTGCGATAACAATTTAAATTGCGATGTACCCAAAAACATTGCATGAAACCTTTTTTTATTTCAACATATTATAACCCATTATGAAGGGTATAATATGTTGGCATTAAAAAGTCATGTGTAAATAAGTCCGTCCATGCTACAGAAATTATATTACAGATTAAATTAAATAAAGATTATTAAATAAAGATTTGGGTAAAATCGCCAGAGTAAAACCTCATTACCCTTAAGGATTTTTTTTCAGGGCAGAGTAAGCGCTCCTGTTTTGTGCATTCCATAAACAATCTTTGCTTCAGTTTCTTCCTCCTACACTTCTGTTGTCTCTCCCGAAGCCAAAGTCCCACTTTTCCGAACAGCAGTGTTTTTAGGAACAAGTTTGTCCTTGCTCTCATTTTCAGCTGGATCTCTCGCTCAGCCTCGCGAGTTTGAGGCTCGCTCTGGCAAAGACAAATAAGCACCTTTGGGCTGTGCATTTCAGATCACAGCCGCGTTTCCGCCGCAGGAGTTCCTGGTAAAAGGAGCGGGGTGGAACTTTTACAAACCGCGTGCCTCAAACCGGTCTCAGTCAATGCCATGCGGTTGTTTGCCGTTTCCAGGGGTGTCTGCTAGGCTAATGCTGCTGCCCTAAAATTACAACAAAATCCCTTAATTGAGTTCTTTGGATGACTGACATAACTTGACTGCATATCACTGTGGGTTATCGTTCATCCATTCACTAAGAGTATGAGATGCAGTAAAAGTACAGTATATATATATATTATGGTAAAGATCATTCAGCCTTTTTTGAGGTTTTATGCCTTCCCCTACATATCTCCTGACATCAACGGTTAAAGTAATTCATTTCACGTGATTAATTGCGCTGAAAAATATGCATTACTGCATGTTGAATGGTCAGAATCTACTAAAGGAAAATGGAATAGGATGATGCTGGCACAAGGACACATGAAACAAAGCAGTGACTAATTTGATTTACTGGAATATAAGCGGATATACAGTACATGCATTTGTTTTTGAACTAAGGACCACTAAAAACGAAATGTTGTGTCCAGAAGCTTGGTCTCTAGTTGGATTTGATGCCTTCTCGTTCTTATTTAAAATGTTTCCCAAATCAGTTCAAAAGAATGCCCTAAAATTACCACAAAATTACTTAATTGAGTTCTTTGGATGACTGATATAACTTTACTGCACATCACTGTGGGTTATCGTTCATCCATTCACTAAGAGTATGAGATGCAGCAAAAGTACAGTATATATATTATAGTATATACAGTGAATATGTTTTTATATTCCCAACACACTGCAAAGCCCAAAGGGTACGTGAGCCACTCTGATGTGTCTCCATGTGATTGCTTTGTCATGTTTTATTTATGTACACATATTGTCAGCGTGGAAACCAATAAAAGTTCATGACTCATTGCTTTAAACATCTGGCCCTTTAACAAAATGAAGTTGCCCTCTGCACAACCACTGTATAAGTCAGCAAAACGAGCATGCTCCTGTAACTAAACTTGTTTGTATTCTGTGAGGCTAGCCAGGCAGACCTATCTATTTATACTCGCCCGGGCTCTGGGAATTGGGTAATTGTGATTTGTGGAATTTAAAGATTAATCTAAAGACACTTTTTATGCCCAATCCTCCAAAAAGATATACTTAGATTCAGGAAAATGCATCTTTTAGTCAATGTTTACATGTCACTTATGATTCATGGGAGGAGAACTGGTACTACTACTGGTGGTTGACGCCCTCCTTATTCCCGTGCACCCCCTCCCCCAGTTTAGACAAGGCATGAGTGTCCTGTTGATATGGGGGGAAAAATGTACTTTGCCTTCCTTACTTGAACAAATATTCTCAATATGCTCTGGGTTCAATATTTCAAATAAAAGCAATTCCATGGTAGCCTGGCTCTGCCAGACCCTTGTAGTTCCGCCATGCTCCACCAGAGGCGTTTGGCTGAACCACATGGGTCTGGTATCGACGCCATAGCGAACGCCTTCCCCAGATTATTTTTTAATCGACCAATCAGGATTGCCGGTGTTACGTGGGGTTTGCACTGCCTTCTCAAGCTTCTCTCATGCAGCAGCGAGAGGAATCCAAGATGGTGGACGTAAAGTCCGCGAATCTTTTTAAAAGAGTAAATACGATCGAATTAAGACACGGATCTCACTTTTAATGCAATAACGGACAAGTGGTCTATCCAATCACATACAAGGATTTTTTTTACAAGGCCCTGCCTTCTGAAATCCAACCACTATGGCTCAGTACCAGACTCATGTGTGAAGTGCAGCGAACTACATGGGTCTGGCGAGAGTCAGGCTAATTCCATGGTGGTTTTCTTGTGGAAATTTGCTTTACCATACCATAGTGGCACACATACGACCACTTACTAGGGGTGTGACGATATATCGCAATACTTTCTCCCGTGATTTGATTATCGATATGCATTTGCCAAGTATCGATATTGAAAAAAAATAATAATAATAAAAAAATATATATATTAGTATCAATACATAATATATGGCAACCTTATGCATCTCCATTCCATTTATCATGAAATAAAGTATTTTTTAGCTTAACACTCTTTTATTTATGCCATAAATTGGCATATGGTATATTTCTGACAAATAAATCGATAATCGTGATATTATCGTAATCGCTTTGTATCGTGTATCGTATCGTGAGGTACCCTTGGGTTCCCACCCCTACCACTTACCATCAACGTTTGCATGTTTAGAAAATCATTCCAAGTCCCTCCTGTAATACCCACGCATACCCCTAGGAGTCCACATACCCTGGTTGAGAAACACTATGTATAGTATTTCAAACATGCTTTTAGATGTGTGAGTGGTGGTCACTGGTGAGCCTTCAGAAACAGAAAGGCTCCATTAGGCAGCCCCATAGCGCACAAAACTCTGCCAAGATTTATATTTGCTCTGGGATACAGGAAGCGTGATTCATAATATTTGACATTTTACCATGCTCCAAGTCCGAGCTTATATTTAAATCAATGATAACCACCCAAGTGCTCTAAAACTCTTGAAAAAAAAAAAAAAACTGGTGTGAATCATGAAAAACAGATGAGGCCGATGACTGAAGAGGCTGGGAAGAATAGAAACATGGGACATTTTGCCTACCTCATCATACGTATAGCGATAGTCCGCCTTCTTTGATTTCAGATCCCACAGGACCACAATCCCCGACTCGTATCCAATTATGAGCTGCGGAGAGGGAGCGGCAGGCAGTCAGTGAGATAGGTGGATGCGAGATGACACCGCACAGATAGAAAGGACCCCATGATGCGCAGGAAAATGCTAATACGTTTGACATTCATCCCCAGCGTGAAAGGGAAAGGCAGGTGCGAGCAGACAGCCGCGGCTCAGGAAGTGACCCGCCTACTACGGTTCACCCGGGACAGCAACACAGAAGAGAGAAACATTTTGGGGTTGAGAAGGACATGATTGCTTTAGTGAAAATCACAAAGAGAAAATCCGCATTGGGATATGACCTCTTGAGGGTAAAAAGATGTTTGAGCAAGATAGCAAAAAGTTCTGCCACACTAGATTTTGAACGGATTTTCAATTTAGACTTGACAACAAGTTAATGCAAAAAAATCATGTTATTGATATAACACATTTTTGTACAAAATTATCTATAGAGGCTACATTGTTGCAACCTTCTGAAATGCACGGTGATAAAATAATTTTAAAAAGAGGGAGGGAAGGGATTTTGAAAGTTTGTCCCACGTTTTTGCAAAAAAATCTACAATCTGTGTGAGAATTTCCATGACAAAGGTTTGTACTATGAGTGAGCATTACTAAAAGATTATTATTGCATTTTTTATACAACTTTGGAAACAACGACAAACTAGAACTTTTCCCTGGAGAGCGTATTCTCCTCCCCTTCAGTGCACGTAAAGAATCCAGATCAATCTGTCCAGTAGTTTTTGAGCAAGACAGATACGCAAAGAGGCGATTTATAATACCCCTCTGTTGGTGAAATAATGAGCTCTCGCCAGATTTATCTACTGTTTTACTAGTGAGTGGGAGTGCAAGGCAAGACACTGCATTCAACATTTGGCTGCTAGTTTTTCTACCGTGGAAATGCCTCTATCCTTCTTTAAAGAGGGATAGAGTTAAAGTTTAGTTTTAATTTTGCAGTAGGGCTGAAACAACTAATCGATTAATCGACGACTAATCGATTATTGAAATAGTTGACAACTATTTTAGTAATCGATTAATCGTTTTCTGTTTCACACGGACTCAAACAAAGCAAAAATGACATGAAAATGTAGTATTTTTGATTAAAACCGACTTTGTTTTTATAATTGAATGAATATCTGTCTGTCTCATCCAATCAGATAGCAGAATTAGCACAAAGAGCCTGTTACAAACATTTACTTTAAGTTTACGCCATCAATACGTCCTCGAGTGTTGCCACTTTAACTTTTTGTGATGAAAAAATAAAAATTTTCTACACAATTCACAGCCAAGCGATTACTCGATTAATCGTAAAAATAATCGATAGATTAATCGATTACAAAATAATCGTTAGTTGCAGCTCTATTTTGCAGCACTACTTTCACTGGCAAATTCAATTCAATTCATTCTTTATTAAGAACACAGAAAACTGGTTCAAATTTCCACAGCCATTTAATGCTATACATTTTATGCCAGCGTTTATGTTATATGTTATGTAGTATGTGATATAGGGATGGCAGTAGCAGTACAAAGACATAGGACATGCGTACAGTATGTTAGTGTGAAAGCATAAATTGTACCTTTCCCTCGTCCATTGGGTTGTCACTTATATGAACGACTGGTCCAGGGTGAGCCTTGGATGACCTGCACAGACAGAGTTGTGATACTTTTAAAATGCACTCAGGCTTAGACCAAGGTTAAATGCATGTATATACAGAATATGGAAGTTCACAACAGGACAAGTGCTATTTAACCTGCACCGGTGTATCGACTCTGCCAATCATGTCAAGGCCCTGGACTAAAAGGCAGTTTAGGTCTGTGCAGAGGTGTGATGGATGGCCATGTCAGTCCAAGCAGTCCCCATCGGCTATCTGCATGTGTGTGTGTTCATTTGCATGTCACAAAAGCTCCCCCCCCCCATGACTGCTTTGCCCTACAGACAGCCGTATGTCCAATGTCCTGGCCTTGCATGGGAGCTTTCCTCAACATAACCTGCAGCAAAGAGACAGTGATGTGGGAGGGAGGAGGACTGAGGAAGGTCAAGGCTGAGAAACCATCCCCCCAAAAAAATAACGTGTCCAGGCCGAAACATAACCCCAGTGTGTGTGTGGGGGGGAGGGGGGTCAAGAACAGGGATGCCCCATGAGGAGGAGAGCAAGCAAATGTAACTAATATGAAACATGCAGAGGGAGTGGGCTGGAGGAGTGGATGTTGGATTGTAAGTGACGTTGGAAGACTGACAGAGAGAAAGACAGACGCCGTGGGGAATGATCCTGCAAAACCAGCATCAAAACTGCAGTGACTTGTATCCTAGTGAAGGGTTTTGTAAAGGCCTGTTCCACAATATTTCATGCAAAAGTTACTCTTTTCTAACTGTCATCTGAGCATTCACTTGGACCGGAGATGTTACTTGTTTGTATAAATAGCCTGAAGACATGGCTCAAAGATAACCAAATGTGCAGTCATTAAGCAGATTGTAAATCGTGTGATGCATATATTGTGACTGAGGTTACCTGTATTTTAAAAGATAATTAGGCCATTTTATTCATTCATTCTTTGCACACTGTAAACCTGCTGTCACTTTGTTTCTGCCCATGGACTACTGATGAAAATGAGCTAGTAGCTACAGTGCCTTGCGAAAGTATTTGGCCCCCTTGAACCTTTCAATATTTCGCCACATTTCAGGCTTCAAACAAAGATATAAAAATTAAATTTTTTGTCAAGAATCAACAACAAGTGGGACACAATCGTGAAGTGGAACAAAATTTATTGGATAATTTAAAATTTTAACAAATAAAAAAATGAAAAGTGGGGCGTGCAATATTATTTGGCCCCCTTGCGCTAATACTTTGTAGCGCCACCTTTTGCTGCAATTACAGCTGCAAGTCGCTTGGGGTATGGGTATCAGTTTTTCACATCGAGAGACTGGAATTCTTGCCCATTCTTTCTTGAAAAACAGCTCGAGCTCAGTGAGGTTGGATGGAGAGCGTTTGTGAACAGCAGTCTTCAGCTCTTTCCACAGATTCTCGATTGGATTCAGGTCTGGACTTTGACTTGGCCATTCTAACACCTGGATACGTCTATTTGTGAACCATTCCATTGTAGATTTGGCTTTATGTTTTGGATCATTGTACTGTTGGAAGATAAATCTCCGTCCCAGTCTCAGGTCTTTTGCAAACTCCAACAAGTTTTCTTCCAGAATGGTCCTGTATTTGGCTCCATCCATCTTCCCATCAATTTTTTCCCTGTCCCTGCTGAAGAAAAGCAGGCCCAAACCATGATGCTGCCACCACCATGTTTGACAGTGGGGATGGTGTGTTCAGGGTGATGAGCTGTGTTGCTTTTACACCAAACATATCGTTTTGCCTTGTGGCCAAAAAGTTCAATTTTGGTTTCATCTGACCAGAGCACCTTCTTCCACATGTTTGGTGTGTCTCCCAGGTGGGTTGTGGCAAACTTTAAACAAGACTTTTTATGGATATCTTTGAGAAATGGCTTTCTTCTTGCCACTCTTCCATAAAGGCCGGATTTGTGCAGTGCACGACTGATTGTTGTCCTATGGACAGACTCTCCCACCTCAGCTGTAGTTATCTGCAGTTCATCCAGAGTGATCATGGGCCTCTTGGCTGCATCTCTGATCAGTCTTCTCCTTGTTTGAGATGAAAGTTTGGAGGGACGGCCGGGTCTTGGTAGATTTGCAGTGGTCTGATACTCCTTCCATTTCAATATAATTGCTTGCACAGTGCTCCTTGAGATGTTTAAAGCTTGGGAAATCTTTTTGTATCCAAATCCGGCTTTAAACTTCTCCACAACAGTATCTCGGACCTGCCTGGTCTGTTCCTTTGTCTTCATGGTTCTCTTTGCGCTTTAAACAGAACCCTGAGACTATCAAAGAGCAGGTGCATTTATACGGAGACTTGATTACACACAGGTGCATTCTATTTATCATCATCAGTCATTTAGGACAACATTGGATCATTCAAAGATCCTCAATGAACTTCTGGAGTGAGTTTGCTGCACTGAAAGTAAAGGGGCCGAATAATATTGCACGCCCCACTTTTCAGTTTTTTATTTGTTAAAAAAGTTTAAATTATCCAATAAATTTCGTTCCACTTCACGATTGTGTCCCACTTGTTGATGCATGACAAAAAATATTTTTTGTATATCTTTGTTTGAAGCCTGAAATGTGGCGAAATGTTGAAAGGTTCAAGGGAGCCGAATACTTTCGCAAGGCACTGTATGCCTGGTCTGTACACTACATTTATTGTACAATGTCAAAGTCAACTATATAAAAAAAGACTAAAGATTCTACATGAAGCAATAATATCACCAAAGAGTAAAGGAGTCCTGTCCTTATCTTGTTCAACAGAAAATGTACAAAATGGTGTAACACTTAACATAATCTGAACGGTCTCTTACTTCAGATGTTCAAAGTTCCACAACCTCTAAACATGCTTCCTCAAACCCATGTGGAAAGTGAAAAGTCAAAAAAAGAGCCGAGGTTTTTATGCAGTGTGTGGCAAAAGTTGTTCTTCAGTTCAATTCAATTGCATGTATTCTTGTATAGCCCTAAATCACAAGGCACAGTAGTTATCTCAGAGGACTCAACAATACTGTTGAAATTGCCAACACGGATCAGAAAATCAAACAGTTCAAACACAAAGAATATAGAACACATATGTATTGGTCCATAGTAGAAATCAAAATATCACGTCTGTGATGTTTAAACAGTTTTGCACACAACAAACTTTAAAAGGTACACTGTAGTTTTTACTCCTATCTTGCATTGAGAAAGTCACTCACAGTCCTTCGGTATTTTGAGTGCCATACGCCTTGTTCACTTGACATTGTAGCTCTAAAATGTAAACAGTCCTCGTTCTGAAGCTGCACCCCTGCGCTCCTCAGGAGGGACGTCTGTGGGAGCTTAAAACCCCAATGATCCGAGGATCAGAGAAGCCAGGGCATTGCCTTGGACACGTATACAGAGGCGTGGCAGAACTGTGGCTAAAAGCTCAGATTATTAGCTTTCACCACAGCGTTGCATCCGCATCACGGTAAGAACATTAAAAGACTCACGCTGTTGATAAATGGTATTGTAACAAATGTTTTGTGGCTTGTCCCTAAATAAGTTTTGTTGAAACTTGGGACATAGTAGTTGGACTGTGCTCGGATCGGGTCAAAACATCCTGAGACCCGTGTTGCAGATTCTGCCTTGTTCGCATTACTGTCGGTGTGAAGAAAGTTATGCATCGTTCACGTGTGCACAAACTACAGCAATATGCCTTCAATTGTTATAACTCTGCCTTTCAGTGCATGTGGTTTGCAATGTTGACAGTTTTTTTTTACATAACTGTGGTCTTTCATGATCCCATTTTCAAACTTGTCAGGGCACGGTTGAAGCAACGATAGTAGAACCTGTGAAACGGAAACGCGATTTTTGCATCCTTTTTGTCCCTTATCAACAAATGTATATCATGACATTGACCTGGATAATCCTCCAGCTCTCATGTACACTTAGAAAACATGGTGGAGGTAAATATTCTGTAAAAGGTCACATTTGTTATTGGTTAACATGTTTTTTTTTTTCATTTGGAGCAAAGTGTAGAACTTACACAGAGTAAGACGATACACAGTTGTCTTTTTCAAAATGGCCCCAGAGCAAATGCTGCATTATATTAAATTACGCGCGTGTTAGAGTGGTACTTTTTCTTAAATAATCAGTTTGTTGAATTGGCTGGAGGGCTAGGAAAGCAGAAGTGAATGAATCAAAATGTCCGCTAGTCAACATCTAAATACTGTACTTCACATATTGCAGACTTGGATTTGGGTTGAGAGCTGATTGGTCGCTGCAGGGGTAATCCAATCTGATTCACTGTTGTATGCAAAACTTTGCTTTAGGTTGAGCTGGTGGCCAAACACTCATGCATGAAACTAATGATGTGTCAAAGGTGTTGCAGCAGGTAAATTAGATGGATTAACTTCCTCCTTACAGTGTATATAGAAACTACTAACTAGCTTTATGGCTGTGATAGCTTTTACATTTCCTTGAGTCAATCGACTAAAGCAGGGTTGGGCCATTATTTTCTGGGGGCCATATTGAGAAATGTGTTTTTTGAGGAGGGCCAGCCTCATTTTCATGTAGTTACCATTTCATTTAATCTGAAACAATTAATTTTAGTATAAGCTACTCCAGTCAAAATGTATATATAATTTCATGTTGTTTTAGATTTGATGGATAAATGGTCCAATTCTCAATGCGTCCAAGACCCAAAGATCTTTGACTTTCACAAGAGCCCTTCCCATCAACCAGTCACTAAATGGACAGAACATCAAAGTGGTTCAGTCATACGAATACCTAGGAGTCCACCTGACTGGTCAGCTCAGGCCAATGCTGAAGACTGAGGTCCTTCGATGTGAGCAGTCAGGTGTTGCACATATTTTACCAGTCTGTTGGAGCTAGTGCCGTGTTCTTTGGGGTCGCGTGTTGGGGCGGCAGTCTGACCTACAGTAAAGAGACTAAGCGGCTCGACAGGCTGATTGTGTCTGGGGAGAAATGTGGACTCTATGGGAGCTGTGCTGGAGAGAAGGATGAGGGTTCTAATGCAGGACATCCTGGGCAACTCCAGACACTCTCTGCATGACGC